GAGGGGGAGAGAGCATTTTTACCATCGGCTTTTTCTTCTTCTTCTTCTTTCTTTTTTTTTTTTCTTATTCTTCTTCTGCTTCTTCGTTTTCTTCTTGTTGGTTATTTATTCTTCCGAGTTTGTTTCACACAGACATGCTTTTTTGTGATTACTTTTCTTCTTTTGTAGGAGGTTTCACTACCACCATTTCAATCTCCCCAAGAGCGAGGGGAAAAGAAAGAGAAAGAAGCTCGACTCTATTCTGGGCTCATCCGAGGAAACAAAAGAACTCGCGAATCCTACTTCGGTTGTGTCGGTGTATTAGTAGAGGTTTGCATGGGACTTGCTTCATTCTTATCACTTCTTTGTGTGTTTTCTTTTCTTCTTGTTTACCTGTCTTGACAAAGACTTGACCTTCTACATGATACCTCCTTTTTTTTTTTTGGCTTCCTTTTCCGTCTGTCATTCTGTCTTTTTTTTATTCAGTTGTATGGTTCCTTCTTTGGCTTGGTTTGGCTAGGGCTCATCGTCATTTGGATTATCATCACAAGATTACTAGCTGCTTAGACTTCCCGGAGTTCAGTTCTCATTTCAACATACCCAACCCATCCATCAACCATTGTTATTTTTATCATCCTCCTACGTGTCGTACCCTCCCTCTTAATCGAGCCAGTCAGTTTTTGATATGACGAAATGAGGAAGAGCTGAGCTGAGCTGAGTGGTTGCCAGTGAACCAAAATATCGTAAAACAGAATGATGTATGACATTACCATGTTTGACTTTTTCTTTTCTACTCGCTGCCTTACTCGCTGCCTCTGCCTCTCCTCAACGAATCTGCTCGTCTGGTTTGTATGAGACTGTATGCGTTCATTCTTGAACCCGACTTCCTCGAAAAGCCAGACAGCTACCGCTAAGTCAGCACACCTGCCTCTACGGACACAAGACAGCAGTGTCTAACGCCCTCGCAACTAAGATCCCCTAGATAGAGCGTTCTCTCTTACCACGAACAATGGTTACTATAAGAAGCACCACACAGATCGGATGCACGTTTTCTGGTCATCAGTTCTAAGCACACAGATTCGACAACGCGAGATATCGGGTTTGAAAGTGGAGGCGGGCTCAGCCAAGTCGTCGAAATATATCTGACATTAAAATTGGAAGCAAGAGACAAACATCTGCGCATTGTTCCCTGTGTACTATTCAACATCATGATGACTGTCCATGCTTGGCTGTTCAGGTGGACTGTCAGAAATGGTGTCCATGAGCTTAGAAGTAGTGTTTATTGACAATAAAACAAATTTCATTCTGTATACAAACTCTACCGGGTGCTGTCCATTACGCCACGCCGTGTCTTGTCTGAAGCATCAAACAGACGCGAGCTCTGACACTAGCCAAGGTAATCTGTAAGGTCCCTATGGTCTTTACCCTCGTTGTATACACACGCCCTTGTCGTAAACCAAAACCTATCCCGTATCAATCATTATCCATCATACACTCATAAGATCCCCGATTGCCGGTCGCGATTCCTGTTAGGTCATGAACCTCTTACTGCTCGAACCACTCACCGCCCAACCACCTGTTGAGGAAGTCAAGCGAGTTCTCGGGCTGGTCCATTGGCACCATGTGGCCGGCCTGGTAGATCTGCATGAAGGTGAAGTTTCCGGAGGACTTGACCTTGCCGTACTCCTTGTCAGCCTTGGGAAGAGAGAGGTCCTCGAGCTCGGCCTTGTTGAAGCCCTTCTTGCCGGGCCACTCAAGAGCCTCGCTCCAAGCCTTGTTGCCGAGCCAGTTGCAGATGAAGTCGGCATCACCGGCATAGATGAGGACGGGGATCTCCTTGAGGATGCCGGGGACGAGGCGATGGAAGGGCTGCATCCAGTCACCCTGGAAGAGGAAGTTGCGGTTGATATCAAAGTTGCAGCTCTCATAGCCCTCAACCTCGACGCCGAGAGCGTCCATGACATCCTTCTGGTTCAGGTAGTCGCTGATCCAGCCAAGAGCGCTGTAGCAGAGGTTGCTATCATCCTCGCACTTTCCACGGATGTCATAGACGTTCTGACCAGTGCGCTGGTAGGGGCCGATGAACTGATTGTTACAGTAGATGGCGGCAGGAACGCACGACCAGACACTGCCGCTCTCGTAGCAGTTACGGATAAGAGACTGGCATCTGGGGAGGGCATTGTCCATGCTGCGGCACTCGCTCTCGCTGAGAACGGCGGGGTAGCCACCTTCGCCGCAGGCCATGGGGCGGTAGTGCTCATACTGGGTAAGAGGATCAGTCAAGCCATTACCGATGAGGACGGACTTGAGATTGATGTTGCGATCCTTGTGGGACAAGATCTCGGAAGCAAAGACAGGGATGTAGTGACCAGCATAAGACTCGCCAGCAATGTGGAAGTCCTGCTTGGCATACTCGGGGAACTGGTGGAAGAAGAGGGTAAGGAGAGCATAAACATCCTTGCCGGCAGCGACAGTGTTGCTGACGGCGTTGCCGGAGTACGAGTACCCGACGTTGACGGGCTGGTCAAGGAAGATAACGCTAGCGTTGTTGTTCCAAGCGTACTCGTTGCTGACAACCCTGAGCTTCTTGTCAATGGAAGAAGGGCCGAGCTCAAGGAAGAGACCAGTGAGCGAAGAGCAGCCGGGGCCACCGTTCAACCACAAAACGACGGGGTCGTTCTTGGGATCGTTGCGAGACTCGAAGAACCCTGGACAGTCCGAGTCAGCACCGTGATTTTTACTAACCAAGTACATTTAAGCGTGATTGACTTACAGTAGAACAGGTGCTTATCGTTGGCCTCATCATCAAGGTAACCGCTGTACTGCTTGACCTTGTCGACGCCGAGCTTGGCAGGATCGACCGACTTGACGCGCAGGTTGAAGTTATCGAGCTGGCCGCCAACCTCACGATGCTTTTCGCCATCGGCGCCCTTAACCCACAGCTTTTGGACATCAGCGCCCTTGACGAGGTGGTCCCAGTCCTTGCGGCGCTTAGCAGCCTTGGGCTTGCTGAACCAGGTGGGCTTATCGAAGGCATTCTCGGGAACAAGCAGCTTGATCTCGTCCCAAAGGGCCTTGGCCTGGGAGTTCATGCCATTAAAGGCCTCCTCAAAGCTTTCGAGGGTAGTGTGCGCGAACGAGTCGGCGACGGGCTTAACGGCGTCATGGGTCTTGTGAAAGTTGTCGGCAAGGACATGCTGGGCCTGGTTCTGAAACGAGGCGGCCGAGGCGGCCGAGGCAGCCCCGAGGAGCACGGTTGAAGCCGAGATCCTCATTGTGATGATGTTAGGAGTATTGATGTTGTGATACAGATGGATGATGAGAAGAAGATGGAAGAGAGGAAGAGGAAGGAAGAGGAGGTTGATAACGGAAATGGATGGGCAAGCAACTGCCAAGGTAAAACGCCCCGGAACCGAGCTTCACCGGACGCGGATGCAGCAGAAACCCCCAGGATTTGGGGCAAGCTGGCATGGGATTGGATAGACGCTGCGCCGCCACATGAATGCATGCCTGGGTATTGGTCAGGTACCTTGCAGGGCGGTCACGCTGGTCATGAGAACGGACGCCTAGCCGATCAGCCAGACAAAAAAATCACCAAACGCCTGTGAAGGAAGCCGCGTATAAGGCTCTCACCGCCATGTGTACCGCTTATTTTCTTGTACAGTCTGGCCTCAAGACGTGGCGCCAATCAACCTGGTATCAACCTATCTGTCTGATAAGCTACCTTTCGTCATTGTCTCAACCTCGCCAGCAAGGTCGCCTCGATGCGACTCCATGTCCACCGCCCGACAACAACTCACTCATTTCCTTCTCATTGCTGAATTACTGTCCATGTATGATACTCCAAGCTCCGGATATAAAAATGTTGTTCCCAGGAGGAGATGATAATCCTTCACGGAACTCCAGTAATCCTCATGAGTCGCGCATTATGCAGCGTGATACCCCTGAAAGATATCAGACGAACGGTGATTATGTGCTACTTTCCTGGCAAGTTCAACTCAAACAGGCGCCAGCTTCAGAGAATATGTGAAAATGGTAATGAAAATGAAGAAGGATCCCTTATGAAATGAATGACTTCGACATACATTTCCCGTCTTCGAAACTGAAGAGGTCTCACTTCGTGTCAGTCTTTATCATCTTGAATATCTGACAAACCCGTCTCCCCCGCCTTTAAGCGTGATGTTATGGTATCGATAACAGGAAGACCCACTGACTCATCCGATGGACAAATGGAATTCCCGCATCGCGTGCTTGACAAGCCCGCTTTTTGCCCGCCGTCAATCGTCATTCGGCTAGGGATCCGATGGGGCGGCCCATCCATCCATCAGAGGGGACTGGGGCAGTACGGCGGGCAGGCGGGGCAGACTTCCAAAGCCCGGGCTCTGCAGCAGAGAAAAGTGGAAGCTGCGGGCGACCAAGAATTTCTGCTCCACGGGCATATCGTTATCTCTTTTACGGGCGCATTCTCAGAGAAACTGCAGGAAGTCAACTTATATGCCCGGTTTCTGGAAACATACCAGCTACTCAGAAAAGCCAGTCCAGTATCCTATGTAACCGACTGTTACTAGGTACCTTCGAAACAATTTCCAACAGCTTCATTTCCCGGAGAATCAATACCGTCAAACCATCGAATTATACTCTTTTCACGACAACCACACAACCACCGCCAAAATGGTGATCCAACAACCCTCCAACCAGATCAAACTGACCAACGTCTCCCTTGTCCGGCTTAAAAAGGGCAAAAAACGCTTCGAGGTCGCCTGCTACAAGAACAAAGTCCTCGAATGGCGGTCCGGCATCGAGACTGACCTCGACAACGTCCTGCAGATCCCCAACGTCTTTTTGAACGTGTCCAAGGGCCAGACGGCGCCGACGGCCGAGCTGCAAAAGGCCTTTGGCAAAGACACCTCGGTCAATGACATCATCCTGGAGATTCTCAAAAAGGGCGAAATGCAGGTGGGCGAGAAGGAGCGCAGCGCGCAGCTGGAGCGCGTCCATAACGAAGTCGTCTCCATCGTCGCCAGCAAGCTGGTCGACCCGCGCACCAAAAAGGTCTACACCACCGGCATGATCGACAAGGCGCTGGACATGCTCAGCTCGCAGGCGCATCAGCTGCAGGAGAAGGAGAAGGAGAAGAAGGATGCGGCCGCGAGCGGTACGGCGTCGCCGGCGACGGGCGAGAGCGGCGAGGCGAAGCCGCAGCCTACAAAGTCCCTACCCATCTGGACCGGTGTTTCGACAAACAAGAGCGCAAAGTCGCAGGCGCTTGAGGCCATGAAGGCGCTTGTTGCCCATCAGCCTATACCCGTTGCCAGGGCGAGGATGAGGTTACGCATCACTTGCACGACCAATGTGCTCAAGCAGGCCGTCAAGGCTCCCAAGGGGGAAGCCAACAAGGATGGCGAGGAGGGAGAGAAGAAGGCACCCGGAACGGTCAAGGACAAGATTCTCAGCTTCGTTGAGCAGGTTGAGAGCCAAGATGTCATGGGCCAAGAGTGGGAACTGGTGGGCTTCGTAGAGCCCGGTGCTTTCAAAATCTTGTCTGACTTCATCGGAAGCGAAACCAAGGGACAGGGAAGAGTAGAGGTCCTGGATATGGCCGTCACTCACGAAGATTAAAGCCATGACTTCGTTTCTTGATTTAACTGGCGGATGCTCTCTGGGTCTTCGTCTATGGTCGTCTTAGTCATATACATGGGGTGGGCGTTATGGCATCGAAAATCATAGTGGGTTGTTTTAGGCAATGGATTTGATGGATTTGCGTCTTTCACGTCCATAGAGACCGAATAAAAATCCCAACAGTAAATCATTTTCCATATCCACGCCGTTTATTGTCATGCTGTCAATGATGTGTCTTCCATTATGCGAGTTCCCCCATTAGCCATAGGCTACCTAGAATCCAGATACGCGCAGGGCGAAACAATTCAGTCCCAGATGTCCATGACTGCCCGTCTTGGAATAACACCACCAAAAACCCAGAAAAAGCAGCGCCGAATATGCCCGCACAGATTTAGTTGCCCTTCTTCTTGGAGACACCGACGGTACGACCGCGGCGGCCAGTGGTCTTGGTGTGCTGACCGCGAACACGGAGGCCCCAGTAGTGACGGAGACCACGGTGGGCGCGGATCTTCTTGAGGCGCTCAAGATCGTCACGGAGCTTGGAGTCAACACCGTTGGCGAGGATCTGAGAGTCCTTGCCGTCAACGATATCGCGCTGCCTGTTGAGGAACCACTGTAGACAAGGTTAGACGACGAAGTCATATCGAGTGAAATCGGTTCAAACGTACAGCGGGGATCTTGTAGGCAGTGGGGTTCTGCATGATGGTGACGATGCGCTCAAGCTCCTCAGAGGTGAGCTCACCGGCACGCTTGCTCAGGTCGACATCGGCCTTCTTGCAGACGAGGTTGGAGTAGCGGCGACCGACACCCTTGATCTTGGTCAAGGAGTAAACGACCTTCTGCTTGCCGTCAACGCTGCATGAAAGTCAGCGTCCGTATTCAACATATTGACCCTCCTCTTGAAAACGGTTCTGTTCCGGATTCGCGAAATGGTTTAGATCATGAGGTGCCTGGATGAACATACTTGGTGTTGAGCAGACGCAAGATGTGGTTGAAGTTGCTCTGAAAAGACAGTTAGCATCCGAAAGCGTCTTATAGGATATCCGGTCGAAGATCATGCATCCCAGCGCTTGCCGGTTTTGGTTCTTGATTCTGCCGTGTTGTTCTCCTTTGGCTGCCGCGATATCCAAGCATCGGTCCTAAAGCTCAGTGCTCAATCGAATGCTCATGGTCGCGTGCTCGTATTGCCATCTCTATTATCGCCCACCGCCTGCGTACTGTGTCGAATAGCAATCTCTTGTCGTCAAAGGCCATGTCGCTCGTCTTCATCCTCGGTCAACCACAGGCTAACTGCAAAGCCATATCCACTTCCATGCCTACACATCGCTTGAAGCCGTCATCGGTATTCGGAAGCCGGCGCATCGATGAACCGTTTATTTGTCGCGACATCGTCGTGGAACGCCAGTTCCTTGTATTTTTGCGTATGTCGTCTCGTATTTGCATCGGTTTTCAAGGTGGGCAGCGACGCCAGCTCGTCACTCGTGATGGCATCCCCACGGCGCCAGAGGATGAACAACGACCGCAGCCAAGAACCTCGGTTTTTTTGGGCAACGCATGATCTTCTTCGGGAGGAGATGAATTTGCAGGATTGCAACATACCTTCTCGCCGGACACCAGAGACATCTTGGGCAATGATTTCGAGGATACCGCCTCGATATTGTCTGTGCTGTGTGTTCGGTCGCAGGTTCGTGGGAAGTGCTCCGTCGAATTCGAGCCCAGATGGTTTTCGAAATTTGTGCGTCACGTGGCGGGGCAAAAGTGTCGTGCAAATGCTGTGAATGAAGCAGATGGCTCGTGCACGGGCAGGTGCCTGTCAGTTGCCTGTAATGTTCCGCTTCAAGCACAGTCTTAACCCTAACCCCGATTCTCGTTTGCCCCTTCACTTCGAGAACCTCTGACGTTCAGTAGTCCTTCACCTCAACAGCAAATCGTGTTCACGACGAAGTTTCGCAGGTTGAACACTTCAACCAGTCTACCAGCCAACTGCCTTCCGATCTGATCTCCTCTAGATATCGCGTCTCAGGGCACTTCAATCTGTGTGAATCTACCCCACATACAAACGGTTCGACAGAACAACAACTTCTTGCGAATGCATGGTATTGCCGGTGACCATATTTATCAAAGTTAATAAAGCGAGTCAACAAATGCGTTCAGCCTGCTCCAACAGCCAGAAGTCTGTGGAAACCAGAAATACGCGCGGCCATCGCTCAAATGCTAGAATAACCCATCTATGGTAACCATTGCAGTGGTCAACACTTCGTCGTCGTCACAAACCTCCGATCGCACAGCCATAGCCCAAGTCACGAATGTCGTAGTGGGCGACAGAAGCGTCACAGTGATTACAGCCCCAGGTGTAACAAAGCCCTGAGAGGGGCGTGTATCTGGGAATGATTGAGAGCCACGACATGAAGCGAAATTTCAACTCTACATTGTTCCCAGCTGTGATATTATCCTTTTCCATCTAGGAAAGGTTTCCAGAGGCAGAGATCTGCTCGAACTCATGGCATGAGAGTTTGCAACTTCGTTTTTTGCTCGTATCAACATCGGTATAACTTTGCTGCGAAGGATGTCAGTGTTGATGGTAAAGTGTTGAAGTATCAAGGGAACGGTGCTAGAGCGCAGTAAACGAGATAGCTGACAGCTGCCAGGACCTTTTGACAATTGGCAAGTCAAGAAACGTCTAAGTGGGTCCAAATTGAACTTCGAATTAACACATTTTTCAGCAAAACCTCACCCTTCCTATTTTCATCACCCATTGGCAACTCAAAGACAACTCAAAACGTCAAAGCTTCCACGTCTGGTGAACTATATGCCGGCACGTCACGTCTTTCTTCATGAATGTAGGCCAAAAGCAATGACTACCATTCTGCTACCAAGAGCCAAATCATCGACCTAGCTGGGGCACAAAAGCCTTATGCGGAATGTGTCTCTGTCCTCCCAGATTGAGGACGTTAGTTCGACACGATAAACAGTAGGTTCCAGTGCCGTCCATAACTATGTCTTGTGCGATGCCGTCTTATGCCTGATTCGGTCAACTATCCTGCCCTGGGGTTGATCTTGAGCCAGGATGCGCCTCCTTGCGAGCTGCGTACTAGACAAGAATAAACTCTGTGACGTTCATTGAGTGCGGAACCTTCTTCTTTCCCTATGGAGGCTTTCGCAATTTCTCGTTGCAACATCTTCCTTCCCAGTTGGACGTTTTTGTCCTCGAGAGTCGAGACCCTGCTGCTGTATATCGACTGCTGGCTTGAGATCGAGATCCTCCCCCTTATGTGATCCATTCAGCCCCTGACATCTACAACTCTCCATATACTCGTTCAAGGTATTCGGACATCGCTCAAACATACCAGCGAGAACCCAACAGGTTGTCATTATGGCTCGCTTCCACATGCCCAAGCGCTTGCACTTCGGTCATTTTCCGCATTCCTCCACTTGATTGACCTGGCCGCCCAACCCCCTATATGGCATCCACGCCCAAAGCATGGCTGGCACGACCGCCTCGCCCTCCCGAATGTTATTCCCTAGTCGAGCTCGGGGACGCGGAGTTTGAAAATGAGTAGCCCCTGGAGATTTGCCCGCTCTTCATCCGTGCGCTTTGTGCTCTGTCTACCGTTCACGTGGGAGACACAAACCGACGTAAGGCCTCGAATACTGAGCAGTTCCTCGATTCCCAGAGCGTCCGCAAGTCGAGCTGGCTTCATCGAATGAAAGTAACGCCGCATCTCCTTCTCCCTAGGAGTCTCAAAATTGGTGGTTGACTTGGAGATGGCTATGTCAAGATGTCTTAACTCCTTGCACTTGGCGAGACGGCTGAAGGCTTTGTCCGACACCGGGCCTGTCCAATGGACCTTGATTGAGCGAAGACTGGCACGCAAGGTTGAGTTGCCTTTCAAGCGCTTATTCAATTCACAGCTGCAGTCGAAATATAAGGTGTATTTGTGATAGATGAATTCGAGGTATTCGGACTTGATTTGACTGCAGGTCCTAGCCAACGCCATGTCTACGCGATGTATAGCAGGGAGAGTTGAAGGATTTGGGGGTGTCCATTTGCCGCAGTCGCAACCCACTTCGTTCGAATAGGCAACTAACGTCGTGGCTGCGATTTTGGTGGCGTACCAGCGATATATGTTCTGACGTAGTTCGGCGGGTAGTTTTAGGAATGGGAAGCCTTCCAAATCGGGCGGTTTGTCTGGTCAACAGCACTATTAGCATATGGGTCTCGGTACCAAATTTATGCAGTACAGATGAACTGGATCATGATGAATAATCCTCACCAGCAGCATCCAGAATCTCAGTACAGGCCTGGATGATATCGATGCAATTCTTGACCTCGGCAGGTTTCTTGCGCATTATCTCGGCGCATTTGGTGATGGTATCTGTGATTGACTTGCGCATATCGGGAGACATTCGGACCAGACGACCCAGTTGATCTCGCTCAAGGCCTCCCATCTTCCAGTGGTCGTGAGCTCGGAGAAGTTTCTTCGCGTTGTCCGATAGTCCATATCGGGCGTGGAGATTGAGCGTCTGGTGCGCGTAGAATGTCGCTCTAGATGAACTCATTGTTTCCGTGTGCTTACTGCGTCCGGATCCTCAATGGCCTCGAGATCTCGACTTTTTGGTTCTTGCGCGGGGTAAACGCTTGCAGATTTAGGTGTCAACAATCGATCAGAACCGAGTGCGAAAGAATTTAGGATGCGCTGGTGTCTGCAGTGCCGGTAGCGAAGTTGTAGGATAATTTATTCGTGGGCGTGAGCAAACGACGACCGCACGAAAAGGTTTGAAGAACGAAGAGGTTCAAGCTCACGCGAAGCAGCTTGGATTACTTGATGACGAGGAGATTGTGCCTCGACCATACCTTCTAGTTCACCTCTGGATCAACCTTTGCATTAAGGAAGGAGCGGCCAGAATCTATCCGCATGGAACTGAAGGTTATGGAGACTTTGTGTAGTGGATAAAGCGTACAGTTCTTCTGCCTGAGCAGCCAACCGTTTGATCCCGTTGACGGCAGGTGATTCTCGAATCGGCCGAAAAGAACCTCTTCAGCAACGACTTGCCAGTCTCATCCAGTTCCCTGTGAAGAGGCAAACGGAAGGCAGCGTTGGAATTCGGATGAAAAAACAGCAGAGGAGCACACTCTTTACTCCTAACAGTACGGCACCGATTTATTCACTTTTTTGAGTTGCCTTTGTGTTATGACTCACTAATTGTCAACGTTTAGTAGACAGTTAATCATGAAGGGGGAGAGAAGGGTGAGGGGGGTGGGGCACGTGGAAGAGAATAAATAGTAGATATATATATATATATATACACATTTATGCGAGTGGATGGCTCTTTCTTCCACTCAACCAAACGAGGATCTCGGATGAGACGGCAGGGCGATTTGGATAAGCTCGTCGCCTGTCAGTGAATAGGAGATGTTTACGAATGGTATAGACAGAAACCCAGGAATGCGCTAATGTAGGAATATAGCTGGTGAAGACGGCATAACCTCACAAGATTCATGGTCAGGGGAGAATACCGTAAAATCTCCATCACCAGCTCTCGTGTAATACCCGTACTGATTGTCATTAAGCAAGTTCGATTGTCGATCCAATTATTCAGGCCGCAGGCCAGTTTGATCAGGCCAGTCTACCTTCACCCCAAAGCACCAACTACACCCTTCGAACAAAAATTACGCCCAACGCCACGGTGACCATGCGCATGAGCTTCTTCAAACCAAATTATTCTAGCACTCAAGTTTTAACAAATAACATCATCTATACCATTGCCAGAGCAAAGACCACAAAAGCAATCAGCGCGACATTCATGCCCATCGGCGAATGGTTTTCCCCCGCGCCGCTCGTGTTCCCCTTACTCTCCCCGGACACCGACTTCCTCCCCGTGGCCGTGATCCCATTCAACCGATCGGCCGTATCGATCGCCGGCCCGTGATCGAAAAAGTCTACCAAAATAAACGTCGGCTTCACTCCCCACTGCTTGACGCAGGTATCAGCGTGCAAGCCCAGGTTTCCCGTGGTGGAAGTATCCGGGCTGTTGGTAATGTCGATGTCCGTCTCGTCCGGTATCTGGACGCCCTGCAAAAGCAGGCTGTCCGCGAAGTGGTTCATCAACGGCATCAACCCCGCCGAGATAGCGTCCCCTGCCGAACCCTGTCCACTGGGCCGATCCAGGGTGCAGTTGAACCCGCTCAGGCTGAGGACGTTGTACGCGGTTTCGAAGACATGGTCGAACTCGCTTAGCAGGTACGGGTAGGTGGGCGAGTAGTCGATGGAGGCGATGAAGGTGACCAGGCGCTTGTTGGAGGTGATCATGTCTCCTAGCGTGGGCCAGGTGTTGCTGGCTGAGCTGCCGTTGCTCAGTTGGTAGCCGTAAGTAGAGATACCGGATCCCTCGAACACGGCGGCGTAGTCGGAGACGAGCTTGTTGTCGGAGTTGACGAGCAAAATCGTCACCACCTCATTGGGGTTGTTGTCCATCCAGAACTTGATCTTGGCCAGCCAGTCTTGGAGTGGCCCTGCGTCTAGCAGGGTGCAGCTGGTGTGACATAGTTGGAGTGTCCCGTTGGCATCGTGAACTTGGGCTTGGAGCAGTCTGATGCCGGCGTCGAGGGCGACTGTTGCATTGAAATATTGATTGCCGGCTAAGCTGTCACTGGTGCTCGCATCACGGAGAAAGGACGAATCGTGCGCGCCCATGTGAGTGACATTGTTGTAGGCCCGATCGCAAAGCAACGGTGAGTTGTTACAGGCAGAGATACCGCTGGCGGCGTTGCTCGATGACGGTGATGCTGTTGTTGCTTGAGAGACGGCTACGCCTGCCGTTGATACTGAGGCTGCTGATACCGCGCTTACGATCCCACTCTCGGCTCCAGATGGTCCCTGTGGAATGGCGCAAATTCCAGAAGCCAGTAATAGCGCCGTCGCCAGAGATGAGATGAGTGATGGCATTATTATTGCTTTCAGATTGACCCCCGTGGAGGAGTTGCGGTGATTGGGATCGTGGGAGAGGGTCTCGGCTCTCTGTCCCCGAGCCTGGTGTCGAGTGTAATAAGCAAACGACGGACTAGAACTAAACTCCCAGAAATGCCGTGAGTATTTAAGAACCCAAGGAAAAGAAATATCAAGAGGAGTAAAAAGAGAATGTCAAGCAGAAGAATGCAAGTTTTCCGCAAGCGTTTTCGGCTTCGCCTCATCCACCGACTTTCCTTTCTTTCTGCACTAGAGAAAGACTGCTCTTCGAACGGATCTGCATGGGTACGCATGTACATTCACCTTTACCCAATGGGTTGGGATCCGCTAATGAGTTGAAGATCACCCCACCCCGTCCACGTCTTTGCGACGACAAGGAGGCTCTGTTTCCCAAAAAAGAGAGAGGGAAAAAAAGACTTCCTCTCACCAGTCAACTTCAGCGTTATGAAACAATCTTGTGCTGTAACTTGACAAGGAGGCGTGCTGCGCCTCGCTTTGATCTAGTCAGTCAGCCCGCTTATCTGTAAATGGTCGAGCGGTGACCCCCAATCTTCGCCCTTTTGGACTCGCAGATTCACAGCGTGCGCGGCTCATACAAAAGCCCCGGACTGAGGCCGAAATGAGGTGAGGCCGCGTCCCATGAAGTAGAACGGAGTTCCCAATCTGGAGATATGTGTACGTACCGCCAACTTTGTGTTTGTGACTCAGGGGTAACTATGCAAAAGAGGAATCGCAGATTCTGATTGGCTATTGGCGACCCAGAAAAGGGTCTCCCCAGCGACAGCACTGAGGGGTCCCGTGGTTTTCCCGATCAGGTACAGACGAGTGTAAACCTCTCAAACACCCTCGAAACATCAGGGACACCGCTCCCTGATTCTCTCACTCAGGTATTCTTCAATGAGGAATTTCGTAAAACCATTGCCATCGTATCTGGCCATACCAGAGGTTGTGAACTTGCGAGCACCTTACTGGGCAGCTGCGTCAGCTCAGCAAAGAAAACGTAAGCTTGTGGAGAAAGAGGCTGCTTGCTCTCGCTTGGGGGATTTCAAGATGAACGAATAAAACACCCACGCAAGTCTTGACCATGTTAATGCTCTCTTTGATCAAGATTGGTATCTGATTGCGTGGCCATTGTGTTGCTTACGGACAGGACCAAGGCGATCAACTGACAATCCTGTGAACTTGGGAGTGATGCTAAATCTGATATGCTAGCCATAACTCAGTAACAGAAACTCGACTGTAAGAGGATACAGCCAACTACCTGCTTATTGGTCGAAAAGGCGATCCGTATAGTGAATTCTGAAAACAGGGCAGAGCTAACACATGACCTCGATATAGCTTGAAGCCTGGTATGCTCCTAAGTTCGTTGCTATGTCCGTCGAAATTACAATGCCTATGTCCTAAACGTGTTCCAGGCGAGAACGAAAGGTACGAAGACGGCGTCTTACATCACTCATTCCGGGTCACCAGCGGGCTCATCTGCGTGCTTCTTGGCAGCTTCGATCTCCTTCCACTTTTCCTGGCCCTCTTGTGTAGTGGCGTCAATGATTTCCTCCTCGAGACTCAAAACACCAGCCTAAAGACCTCACGTTAGCAATTCTGTCCTCGCAGCAAACCAACACGGGAGCAAACGACTGTCAACTTACATCTCCAAATTTGCTCACCAACTCCTCAGCCTCCTCAACCTTCATCTTGCCCAGAACCTTGTTCACCGCATCCAACTTGCCCGATTCCAGAGCCTTCTTCATCTCGGGACTAAAGCTTTCAAAAATAGCTCTAGCTTGCTGTACCTCCGGGTCTTCACTGTCAGCTGGAGGAATGTTGATGTTTATCACCGTACCAGGCTCTACCGCATGCAGTTGGATCTGTTCCACACCCTCTTGGCTGCCACCTTCGGCCTCTTCCTTTGCCCTCTGCAGGTTGATCTCTCTGGCCCTGTTCTTGATCTTGTAAAATGTGTCCTGCACATCCTTGAAGAAGACCTCCTGGGCCTGGTGGCCTTGTGTCGTGATGCGCTTGAAGAATAAAGCGACGCCGTCGCGTCCCAAAGCCCGGCAGTACTGCAGCAGGAGTGCTTGGTGGACGCAATTGCGAGCATAGTCGTCACGGTTTTGAAGCTGTGCGTCGAAAGCGAGGACGAGCAAGCCATCGGTTTCTTTTTCGGTAAGAATTTCTGGGTGTTTCGTAAGGAAGGCGAGGGACTCCCGGTAGTCGTCTGCCTTGATCGAAGCAAATTGTTTGGCGGCAGGAGAAGCCTCAATTTCAGCGTCATCGTCATCATCGTTCGTAGTCGTGCTGGGTGCAGGTAGGCTATCGGTGGCGCTGTAGTTCGGGTTTAGAAGTTCGACCTTGGACGCCTCCTTCTTGTCTCCTGAGGTAGAGGCCTTCGACTTGTTGATGTGCGTGCTGTCAAAGCCCGTGTGGATAGACTCGCTCGTAATTTTGCTCTTGTCAATCTTTTCCAGCTCGTCAAGCTTGTTGAGCAACTCGCCCTGTAGGTTTGTGACTTTCTTGAGGTGCTCCTCCACTTCCGCGATAGTAGCTTCGTATCTCTTGTCTTGCTCGATCTTCTTCTCCTCCAAAGTCTTGTTCACATCGTCAAGAAGCGTGGCCATCATCTTGGTGTACGTAGGCAGGGGTTGTTCTGCATTGTGAACACCGGCAGGCCTTGGTGGGGGCTGGTCATCCTTGGGATCTAGACCAGCGGCCGACTCTATGACAGCCTGGAAGGCCACCTCGCCTGGGTTGCGCGAGCTGACTTCCGAAGCATGAGCCTTGAGAGAGGCAAGAAGGGAGGAGATCCGCTTGATCAGAGTATCATTGATGATTCTTTCGTACTTGAGGGTCTCGATCTGGAGCTTGCGTTGCTGGCGTTCCGCATGAATCTGGTTCTGCTTGGCGCGAATGAAAGACCGCTTGTCGACGTTGGGATGAACCTCGACATCAGAGTCATCGCTGAGCTCCAGCGCATCCTGAATCGGCATGTCAGTGCATCTGTCCACGAGTAGCACTCATGATGGCCAAAAAAGGGTAACTTACCCACTTGCTGTAGTCGACCGGCATCCTGACGCTTTGCGGCGAGCAGTAATTCTGACTATTGATTCAGATGTTCGAATTGGAGAGGCGCTTCTGAAATACTTTACTGGTGTGTAAATCGCGAAAGTGAAGCAGTGTCAAAGAATTGCGCAAATACGGGTAAAGATTTAGTTCCAAGCAAGTTTGCCATGTATGGAGCAGAGAGCGGAAGAGGAGGGGAGGGGGCCAGCTTGTGTTATGGCGGGGTCCATAACTCCTGACGATATTCAACACTACACGAGAGGAGTGGGGTCATGTAGAAAGACGTAGAAGGCTCCGGTCCATCGCGCACCGCATTATGACTGCATGCCGTCACAGTGTTTGAATAGCAGGAACAGCTATCAACGATCGCTAGAATATGTAGAGGTAAGGAGATATATCCATTCTACTCAAACTTCAGCTGGCACAAGCTGCTTTGTTTTCTTGTTTTTTTCCAGCCGCCCACCGTAGGGGTTGATAGACACGGTAAATATGGCATCTTTTCAATTCCTAGCATTTTCCGCGTTTACTGCGCTCTCAGGGCCCGTGCGCTTGTCCGTGCACAACACCCACGTTTTGCAGTACTGAGCCAGTAACGAAATGGAAATGTAAACAGCTTACCGCATTCGGAAACAAGTCAACAGACCGCCAGTCTAACTATCCATGTAATGATCGATGGTTGAGGAAATCCGTGCATTTCTAAAGCTAGCCAGATTCAGGTTACCGAGTCACATGAGGATAACAATGGAAAGATATCTTTTCCATTTCGCCATGGTCAATTTCCACCTTTGATATTCCCACTAATAACCGTAACCCAGCTTCCACAATCTCTCCTTGTACATACGAGACTTCAAGTTCCTTTCTTTCTTCTGAGCCTCTGTACAAGCCACTGTATCATCCGAGGCTTGATCTGTCAAACAAGCTACCCCTATCAGCATTATTGAGTTTGATCGCGGGACGGCCACCTTTGAACCAGGAAAAGAAATATCAAAAAAAGGACGAAAAGGAACAGAAGAATCTTGACAAAAGCCGTTATATGCGTTGTGGATAGTCCAAAACACCTAAGCAAGGTGTTAAGGTATTGGGATGTAACTTCGAATTCAGAGCATATAGGCAGAGAACGTGCTGGACGTCGAACATGATATCGGAAATGGACTGTGATGGACATGTTTCGCTTTCCATTTTCATAACCACTCGCTTGAGTCCATTCACATGGGGACACGAATGAGACGGTCATTTATTGCAACACGTGCCTGCTTTGGTCCGGACATAAAAAGAAATGCCAGTTTATTATAGAAATGGTCCTGCAAAACGTACCCATAAGCGCAAATAGTACTGGAAATTATATTACACGATCTTGCTGCGGAAGTTTCGAATGAAGACGTACATCAGATTTCTTCCTCGCATATGATTTCTCTCTCCGTGCTTTTTCATTTTCATGACCGGCAACAAACATCATGTGAACATGCTAGCCACTCCTGATTTTCTCCCTTATCAGGGGCCCTCCCAACTCCTTGATTGAGCTGCGGCCTCGTTGGTATCAGTCATTCACAGTTTCCGTGCCTTGAGGGGCTACCAAGACACTAGTTATCCTGGAAGTAGTAATCTTCTCCGTCAGAGTCAATGAACTGGATATCAACATTTCCATCAAAGGCTTGCGTGGCTGCTTTACGAAGGCGTTTGTAATCTCTCTGTCCAATCGAAGTGCCTTGCTGGAACACCGCGCCGAATTCAAACCCCAGATGGTCATGATCGGGGGTTTCTTCCATCTTTTTGAAGAATTTCAGGATCCCCGAGGCCGTGAAGGCCGAGTCACCTGTGACGTATACTTCCTTAAGGCGTGGAAGGTTTGCAAGTGGCATGATGTGCGCATCATGAACCAGACTCCCGCTGAAGCTGATTTTTTCCAACTTCAAAGCGCCTTCGCTGATCATGCTGATATCTGCGACCGAGAGATACTCTTCCGTCCCCAATTCCTTAAGCTCTGGACAGCGCGATATGCCTGCGGCAAGGCCCTGGCATCTCCCAGTGGCAGGTCCAAGTTCCTGAAACTCCAGCTGCGGAACTTCGACGTTCAAGTACTCAAGTTTCGCTTGGTGATGTAGCTCACTATACCAGGGCGCATTTGCCTCAACTGAAACCAGGGCGAGAGACTTAAGACGGAGCTTTGGCCCTGTCAGTGAATCCTTGAGAAGTTGCGTGCCACCAGGGAAAAAGCTCAAGCTGAGGTGCGTCATTTGGGCGCAGTTTTGCAGCCATTCCACACACTGACCGTAGACTGCTGTATCTGACCGTACGAAGTCAAAGTCTGGGCCAGCGCGCGAAGCGTCGAGACACAGACTCTCCAGTGCATTGCACTTTTGGAGCTCATTCAATGCGCCCAGAGCTCTGGCTCCCAATTGAGACAACACAAGGAGCTTCAGAGAGCCAGAATGCTTATCCAGAGCCTTTAGTACGTGTGGGCCCACTATAACACCTCGTATGACCGTAAAAGATTCTGTGTTGGGTCAGCTGCCGATGCCGTTACTGACCACCTTCAACGGGGGGACGTACATACCTATTGTGTTAGGAGGAAGCATTTGCAGCAAACTGCTGAGATGTTTCTCAGCTTCCTCATCTGGTATGGTAAAACATATACTACCATGTTTATCAGGTCAGCAACTAGATCTCAAACGCACACTGGTTTAGACTTTTGACAAGCACGTTCATTGAGAGGCTAGGCTCTCAGTTTTGAGTAGAACGGCTGCAAATGCCTCCGCGTAAAGTGGCATTCGGTTATAGATGGGGAACTGAAGAATACTCACAAATGTTTGAGGGCAGAGCAATTCTGAGCAATAGTCAGAGTCACTTGTTCGTTGAGTAAAGCTGTGTCGTGGATATGAAGCGTTGTCAATCCAGTGAGCCTTGAAATCCACACAGAAAAATACCTTATACAAGGCAGGTATTCTAGGTCCGGAAAACGAATTTTGGCTAGACGGGAAGTGACGTGCCCCTGGTCGACGGTAGCTTTGATACCTTCTGTGATCTTGCTGACGACTTCGCAGAATAGCACATGTGGACCTACGTTGCCATTGAGATGGCCATGGCTGGATATATTAGTTTGGAGCAGTTGTAGGTAGCGAAGTGGAGGGCTGTAAAATGTGTAACGCAGTTGGGCATCCTCTGACTTGTCGATATTTTGGAGGAAGTTGAGGAGGTCGGAGAAGTCAAGTGTCTTAACCCAACAACAGTATGGATATAAGGTCTTCCCCAGGCTGGACACAATGATAGACCTCCAGAAGCAGACCGACTGCTTGTTCGCGAGGGTATAAGTTGACCTTTTGACGATGCCGTACATCAGCGGCAAGGCAAAGCATGCCACGGCACGATTGAGACGAGCAATGAGCAACATTGTTGATACGTCTTTTATACTGGCAGCCTGGTCAACAATAAGCCACCAAATTTCTGTGGGAAAGCCCCGGAAGGTCATGGCAACTGTTGAGGCCAGGACGAAACAACCAATATAATAGACGTGGGAATGCGTGACGCGGTATAGCTGCCCACGGCACGGCGGAAGTAAACAGTTTTGTTGAGTTTGTCTAGCAAAAGTCAGAAACATGGTACATCTGGAGGGGGCTGAAGGAGCAGTTAAGGGAATAGGTACTGTGATGGAAAGGAGGGACGAGAAAGTACCACGAACCTTAACGTACAACTCAAACGAACCGTGCAAGTATGGGTTCCTCTCGACAAGCAGCATGAATCTACCAGCGTGACTGGCTGAAGTCTTGAGAAGTCTCGACGGCCTATGCTGGTTGTAGAGGAGCGGCTACGAAGTGGAAATCCAAGATCGAGTATCCCGTGACAATGCCCGCGTCAGCGGTGATGCTTACGGACAAGTTGGCTGCTGGGTGTGATTCTCCTGGCAAATGGGTTGCTGTGATGCACTTGTGTGGACGAGCTTGCCAAAAGGGACAGCCGTTTCTGCCGAGCCTCGCGGTGAAGTTGAGTAAAGGGTCAAAGCAATAGATTATTGTTTGGGAGGGGCACACAGAAGATGGAATGGTGGTTTGCAGATTGTCAGAGCGATCTGGGCGGTTTCGGACACAGAGAGAGGAGAGATCTTCGGAAAGTGATCGGATGGCGATTTCTTTTCAAAATCAATAAGCAGGGTACTGGGGCCCTCTTGTCTTGTCACATGCGCGCGCATGCTCAAGGCATCAGAGCGCGCGCACTGGTGGATTTCAGAAATGCATGTGGGATTTCCTTGTTCACAGCTTAGGTCTAAACTTAGGTTGGTGTTTCCGGAATTGTGTTTGTTGAGGTGTGTCAGGTCTCGGAGCAAGTTGAGGACTCGGATATCCAACAGCCCCCACATTCACTACGATAGGTAGCCAATGAGGTTGAACTACCTATTGCTGCCCTGCTTCCACAGTATCAAATCACTTGTCCCATACCAAACGGGAATTCAACAGAAGAAGGATGTACACTATGGATATTTCTGAGAAACTCCCGCACGTGCCAACGATAGGTAGTCCATGGGAGCTCTTTTTTTGTGAGCTCGACGGGAGTTCAAGCTGCAACAAGGCGCAAGTGGGAGACATTAGGTTGACCTGAAAGACCGGGCTACACTGGTAGTAGAGGTACCTCTACCTATGTCGCTCATGAAGTCCGGCGAGGGGACGGGAGCGTCGATCGGTCCCTGTGTGTACCTATTTTAGAGGGCCCTAGAGCTAGGCTAGAGTGCTAGGCACTGGAATTTACCGCCCCAAATGTGCTTCGACGCGGTCCCTTGCGAGTGGGAGCAGCCGCGCAACCATTACAGCGGAGTTCCCTTGCACCTTCCATCCATTGTTCACTTGCTCTTGATACATTCAGCGTTTCGTGTCACGCAAGAGCACTCCAAGGCAACTGCACTCGGTCTCGACTTATTTTCCACCATACTCCAGGCCACTGCAGGCTCCCGCCCTTCTGCCGGGCAATCACAACAGAAATCGCTGACTGGATGTGAAAAACTGAGTGGCTGGACTTAGACCCGAGAAACCTCTTCCTGGCCAAAAGGATATAAGTCGATCGACTAATTGCGACGGCGACCACAAAATGGTAATCTTGAACTTCACGCTCAGCGAGGAGGGCGTGTCTGTTTTCCACGACGCCCTCGCCTGCATGTACAAGTTCAGTGATGATGTTTGCTTGGAAGCAAGAAGGGACAAGGTACGTACGAATCTTCCCTTCTTGAGATTGTGATACAGTTGCTAACTTATTTGTCTCTTAGCTCACCTTGACTACTCTCAACATTTCAAAGTCAGCATACGTTTGCTTCACTTTTGCCGCTAACAGGTTCTTCTCCCGTTACCATTTCGAGGGAAATGCCCAGTATCGAGACAGATTCTTCTGCCAACTCTATATCCGGGTGAGTGGTCGCTCCTAGACCTATGTCCCCTGGGTGTTTACCAACAATTTCTCTCAGTCCCTCTTGTCCATCTTTCGGTCTCGCCAAGGTGGTGATTCTGCACGGGATAAAGATGCTTCCATCGAGCGCTGTGATGTTGCCATTGACGATGGCCCTGGCAAGAAGAGCCGGTTGATTGCAAGAATCTCTTGCAGGAACGGTACATAACGCTCCGATCATAGTCATCATACCTACAAAGCTCACAACGTTACAGGAATCACCGCGTCTCATTCTCTACCGTTCGAATCAAAGCCACCAACTCATGCCAAGTTTGAGAAGGACGAGGCTGGGAATCGTTGGTCGATCTCATCTAGCACACTGCGACAACTCATGGATCATTTCGGTCCGGGTATTGAATTGCTTGATATCAACACGGATGACGATGATCATGTTGTGAACTTTACCTGCTTCACGGACAAGGTGCAGAAACGCGGCCCTCATGGCAATGAAGGTTTGTAAGACCTTCCTTCAAGCCAAGTTGGAGGATGATGCTGACAATTGCATGAAAAGCTGTCCTCAAGAAGCCGCTTCACACCAACATTTCTGTAGAAATGGCCGAGTTTAACGAGGTTGAAGTCCAAGACAAACTTCACATCATCATTAGTGTCAAGGATTTCCGAGCCATTCTCCAACACGCTCAAATAATCAGCGGAGAGCTCGCAACCTACTACTCGGAGCCCGGACGCCCGATGAAATTATCTTATAGTGCGGACGGTATTCTGTGTGAGTTCATCCTCATGACGGTTGGAGAACAGGATGCCATTACCCAGAAGCACAAAAGTACCAGGGCAAGGGCTTCAAAGACCCCAAAACCGGGTTCGGGTCCGGGACCAGGTCCTGCGTCTAAGCCTGACGGCTCTGTTGCAAACAATGAGGCCAAAGACGTTCCAAAGCCAGCGCAGAAGCCTCCTCAACAAAAGACACCTCCACGACCACGACAGACACAATTTGAAATTCGACCACCACCCATACCGCCTCGAACCCCGGTGGCCGCCAGGACTGATCGATCTGATTCGCCGTTATTCGTTGAGCAAGGCGACGAGGACCGGCAATGGGATCCCGTGGATCGTGAGGATGAAGAGGAGATGGACAACGCTAGAGTCGAGTGGAATGCAACGGGCGAACCGGTACTTCTACGTCATTTCCCTCTAGTCGCCACGAAAAAGATGGCTAACATCCACTCCAGAATCCGCCGTCCTTGCGAATTAGCAGTTTACTGGCAAGACCGGCTGTGCCCGGTAATGAGCCAGACAGACTTACTGGGGGACTCGAGCCAACCCAGCAGCTTTCCGAGGCATGTTTCATGTTGTCTCCTATATCTATTCTTTGGCTAACTGGCAACCAGGTTCGGCGCTTTGGTTTATTTTCCTCTTGACCAAGTAAACCGAGCAGTGCTTAAAGGGGTGGTTTAGTTCATGTACTGTAACATACGACTTATCAGTCATCCTCGGCATATCTTTGACTGTTCCCAAGGCTTTAGGTTGACGGCATCTGTATTGCCACCCAACTGGTGGCACAGCCGGCCCCGATGGTGGTTATCTTAGCGCCCAAAGGAATGAACTTGGACGACGCAATAACGTTCTGCTGACCCTTTGTGGCATCCGAACTACTGAGCGGTCCGCAGTTGCCGTGTTCACCCCAGCCCCAGGCTGTAACGTCACCCTCCTCGCCCAAGGCTAGTGCATGTTCGCTCCCCACCGCAATATGTTTGGTTTGGGGTAGATTCGCGGGAGCGAGTTGGCCATGGTCATTACGGCCCCAGCTCAACAAGCTTCCATCTGCCTTCAAGATGAACAGGTTGCCCCAACTAGCACCGACCTCTTGCCATCCGACAACCTGGTCCGGAACTTCAGCCCTGATCCCCCATTTGTCTGAACCAAGGACCAAGATGTTACCGCTTTCCGGGCTTCCCAGCAAGCATGTGAATTCCTTTCCACAGACCGCTTTCACAACCTTGAAGCCCAAACCCTCGATTTTGCGGGGTGAGTGAACAATATCCTCCGGCGCTCCGATCTGACCCTTCCGGCCATTACCCCAACCCCAAACGTCACCATTGCTTAAGACTGCAACGACATGGCCCATACAAGCGGCAAGATCGACCACTTCCGTGTCCGGGGGAGGAAAATCTGGAATAAGAGACGGAGTCGCCGTACGGAAGATGAAAGTGCCCAAGCCCAACTCGCCTTTCAGGCCGGTGCCGCAAGAGTAGACTCTGGTGTTGCGACCTTGGACATCCAGGCGGGTAAAGATGCTTGCTTCCCAGGCAGCTGCAACCAGACCTACCCTAAATGAGTCTTGGGGTGTTGATACAGATGAAAGATCGACAGGGTGAAATCGAGGAGGCTGCGAGATTTGTGTTTGAGTGAACTTGCCACAGGCACCGGTATTCGGGTCTCCGCTCCAGTAGATGTCGCCGGCCGTAGTCAAAATGATTGTGTGGTTACCTCCTGCAGCAATCTTAGTGATGGAGGCAGTAGCCGGAAGGTCTGCATCAAAATGGGCATCCTTTGGAACGGAAACGTCTTCTTTGTGGCCGATGCCTAGCTGGCCGGAACCATTAGACCCAAGAGCGAAGAGTAGCAGCATTCTGATGCGACTTTTTGAGTAATGGACTGAGCGAGGCGGAATGATGATAAGTCGATGTTTTCCTGGAAGTGTCCCGTCTTTTGATCGTGGCAACTAAGGATGACGACGGCATTCATTGCAGCCTCCGCGCACAGCCGGTGCCGGGCCGGGACATTGGTGGAGTTTTGGTTCGGAGGCCAAGTTCGGAGGGATGGCTCCATTTCCGGTGTCGGGAAGATGGTCCGAGCTTTCAAGTGCAAATCAAAGTGGGGCGAAGCACACTGACGGGATTTTTCCAGTCGTTTTTAAAATCCCACCTTGCGGCCTCCCGAATTGAAAATTTCTTCCTTCCGTACCACAAAGCCAGCAACAGCAACGCAGCCTCACCCATTGCTTCTCGCGCGATCATCGAGCGAGTGCTTCTTTGGTGCCGAGGGTCCTGTGTGACGATGTGATAGCTGCCGCAAGCGACCGGTCCTGCTGGAAAGAAACAATACACGCGTCAATATGGCTTCGACATCGGAACCCCCCAATATGACCGGCTTCACTGTCGGCCTGATTGGAATGGGCGACATGGGCAAGATGTATGCCCGGAGACTTAGCAGCGCAGGTTGGAGGTAATAATTCTTCCTCGCTCGTCTCATCGTCGTCAATCACGCCCAGGCTCTTCGCGGAGCCTGTCACCGCGACTAACCTTCAACAAACATTTCGCAGTTGTTCAAATGGTATGTTGCAATAGTTTTTCTCATTCCCCACCACCCCCCAATATGATGACTTGAGTGCATTTGGCTAGAGTATCGCGCCTGTCACGGCTGGTCAACCGTTCCGGTCCCAGTTTGTGTAGGGAGCTTTCCATGATGAAAAATCTCAGCTACCTTACAATTTTCGTCTGAAACAAACACTTCTTAACACATCTTTATATCTTTCAGCATATGTAAGGGACTTGCGCTGACGAGATATCAACAGATTCTTAGTGTTACAGCATGATCAGGAATCGGTTGGCTAACGATCCCTTCCAGGATCATGGCCTGCGATAGGGAAGAGAAATATGATGAGCTGGTACAAGAGTTCGAGGGGAATGTACGGTCGCACACATTTAGCCCGATCTCTCTACAGCAGAATCAGTGCTGAGTCTTCATATTTTGCTTTCTAGAAAAATATACAAATTCTCCGTAACGGTCATCTCGTGTCTCGCGCCAGCGATTATATCATATACAGTGTTGAGGCGGCGGTCATCGATCGTGTCGTCGCCCAGTACGGTCCATGTGTGTTGCCATGACCTCTCTCCCCGTCACGTAGACTTGAGCTTAACCGCGTACTTCGTTTCTAGCGACCAAGCTCGGCGCCATTGTTGGTGGCCAAACGTCCTGTAAAGATCCTGAGATCAAGGCTTTCGAAAAGTACCTGCCCGCCGACGTTGACATCGTATCCTGCCACTCCCTTCACGGCCCCAATGTCGATCCCAAGGGCCAGCCGCTGGTGCTCATCAAGCATCGCGCCTCCGACGAATCTTTCTCCAAGGTTGAGCACGTACTCTCCTGCCTTAACTCCAAGGTTGTCTACCTGAGTGCCGATGAACATGACCGCATCACGGCCGATACCCAAGCCGTCACCCACGCCGCTTTTCTCAGCATGGGCAAGGCCTGGCATGCAACCAAGCAATTCCCCTGGGAGGGAACCCGTTATGTCGGCGGCATCGAAAACGTCAAGATCAACCTCATGCTCCGCATCTATGCCCAAAAGTGGCACGTCTACGCCGGCCTCGCCATCCTCAACCCCGAAGCACACAAGCAGATTGCTCAGTTCGCCAAGTCCACCACCGAGCTGTTCCAACTTATGCTGGAGGGTCATAGCGACGAGCTCCGCGCCCGCGTGTACGCCGCCAAGGAAAAAGTCTTCGGTGCTGAAGGAAGCCCCAAGTGGGCGAGTAAACCTCTCCTCCGTGACGATGTGCTCGACCAGTTCAGCCTCCGCCAACCGGAAAACGGCGGCCCTTCGGCTCCCTCCTTGCCCAACAACCACCTCTCGCTGCTTGCCATGGTCGACTGCTGGAGTGCTCTGGGCATCGTTCCGTACGACCACATGATCTGCTCAACTCCCCTGTTCCGACTCTGGCTGGGCGTCACCGAGCACTTGTTCAGGACCCCGGGCTTGCTGGATGAGTGCCTGAAGGTCGGCATCGAGGATCGAACCTTCAGAAGGGATGACTTGCAGTTCACCATTGCGGCGGCGGGCTGGGCCGAGTGTGTGGGTCTGAGGCAATTCGAGACGTGGAGGGAGCGGTTTGCGGTTACCCAGGCTTTCTTCGAGCCGAGGTTCAAGGGAGCGGTGGAGGTAGGTAACGCGATGATCAAGGCAGTCCTGGCAAGCGATGAGAAGGACTAAAGGTGTGTACGGAACGGAGACTGGGTTGGAATGCACATGGAGAAGGTTGAATGCGCGAAGGGCTGTGGAACGGTATCAGGGGAAAGAAAACGGGCATCTTGATGGACGAGACATATATGTGGATACAACACGGCTACCTGGCGTAGGCTTCCCAGGAACGGCCGTAGTATTGATAATTGAAAAGCTGACGTCTGGATTTTGGAAGATGCGTCTCGGTTGGTCTTTTGATGATGTGCGACTGTGAGATTTACTGTAATGCTATATGAGGCATGGCGAGAGATGATGCTGTCCCGGCTGCAACACTACCTACCTACAGAGTCCTATTTTCGTATCTTCTTCCCATTGTCAGCTCTCCAACTACCATCCTCAGGTCATGTCACCCACAAGGCCCTTCCTCCGCTGGTGCATCAGTTTGGTACACCGAGTCAGGAGATGACATCGCCCGGCAGGGCTTCGATGTCGAGAGCTCCACGGCCTACGAAGTGCTTTTTGTTGTTTTGTTTATAGATAGGTAGGTAGATGCCTGCACAGTACCTAGAACCTTGATGGCTGATTGCCGCGGCGCCAGAAGCTTATCAGCTTCACTAACCCCCGGGCCCCGCATCGCAGGCTGGACCCCCACCATAAATTGACCCACATGAGGCCGAATGCCACTGCCCGCCTGCCGCAATCAAGCTTTCGCCTCAGCATGCTTGCAGCTTGCTTAGTTGGAATGTTTCGTTGCCTGTTACACACAACATCACCAGCGCGACAGACACTGCTACTTTCCTTCGATTGTGTCTGATACAGTTATCCGATCCTCTCACAACATCTATCACGGCCAATTTTCAAAAAGGATCACGAAATTCCACCCGAAATTTCGCGTATACCCCAAGCTACCCTACAATAGCACGGCGAGAGCAACCGTTTGACCACGATGGGTAAGTTTTCTGTGGGCGCAAAGTGATCAACGTTTGTGTGCCACTATCTAGCTTCCCACGGCAGCTAACCTCTGATCCCCATTATAGAGCTGCCACCGAATCCCGGCCTCGTGGACGTCCAACGCGATGCTCTTTACGCCTACGACTCAGAAGCCCACAAAGCCGTTGTCAACTCGCGACCATGGACCAACGATTACAAATACTTCAAAACCGTCCGCATCTCCTCCGTTGCCATGATCAAGATGGTCATGCACGCCCGCTCCGGCGGCAATCTCGAGGTCATGGGTATGATGCAGGGCTACATTGAGGGCAGCACCATGGTCATTACCGACGCCTATCGTTTACCGGTAGAGGGCACAGAAACCCGCGTCAACGCCCAGGACGAAGCGAACGAGTACATGGTCGAGTATCTCCGTCTCTGCCGTGAGGAGAACCGCCTTGAGAACGTTATCGGGTGGTACCACTCACACCCAGGTTATGGCTGTTGGCTAAGCGGTATCGACGTCGGCACCCAATCCCTACAACAGCAGTTCAACGAGCCGTTCGTCGCAGTGGTGATCGACCCGGACAGGACAGTAAGCCAGAACAAGGTTGAGATCGGCGCGTTTAGGACGATTCCAGAAGGGATCAAGCCTCCCGCGGCAACCAACACGACAACGGGTGATGGACAGAGCGTCCCTCTGAACAAGGTGGAGGATTTTGGCGCCCATAGCCATCGATACTACGCGCTCGACGTTGAGCACTTCAAGAGCACACTCGATAGCAAGCTGTTGGAGACGTTGTGGAACAAGTACTGGGTGCAGACGCTGGCCCAGAACCCGCTGCTTACCAACAGGGACTACACGAGCAGCCAAATGGTGGATTTGGGATCCCGCATTTCGAAGGCGTCGAAATCGCTGGAGATGCTCTCAGCGACTGGGCAAAGAGGTCCTAAGAGTGATGCGGTCGATCAAAACATAGAGAAATTGCTCAGCGAAGTGAAGCAGATTGCTGCAAAGGAGAGGTCTGGACTGATGGCGACGGACGTCAAAGGCAAGGTGTTTGGCTGTGGCTGTCGTGGGCAGGCAGAGGGTGTCCAGCCTGAAAAACCATGATATTTTTGGATGCTGCGGTGAGGACAAGGGTGAACATCATTGCGCGAGTATCTGGAACGGAAGGAAATGCGATTAGGCCACCATGGGTAGCACCAAAGAGATATCCCCATATTAGAGAGTCCCAGGGAGCATTTATGGAGGCGCATGACAATCGTTAGGGACAACAGGACCGCATGGACGGACTGGAGATGATAGTCAACAAACGCCCTTTTTCTCCAAGAGAAGAGACAACTAGGGACTAGCCATGGAATACTAGATGGACAAATCCAAACAAGAAATAGTAATACATGGCACAACAGCTACAGCCATCCGCCCAAAACCACCGATATTTTACATGCCATAAGCCCTTGCCTTTGTGTTCTAGAACAGGTCAAACAACGCCAGTCCAAGACCAGTTGCCACCGCATCCATTGTGCCCGAACCACTTTTCCCATTCTCTGCCTTCTCCTTCTCCAGAGCAACCTTGTACGAGGTAATCAGCCTCTTCATCGTCTCCTTTCTACCCAGCAACTGCATGACCGACACCAGTCCCGGTCCATGATCGCCCGCCAACAGCGCCCACCGCAAAAACTTGTAGCCGCCCGCGCCCTTGATCGGCTCGCCCGTTTCCGGGTCGCTGACGCTCACGGCCTTGACCGTGGCATCCACGACCGACTTAATCCTCTCAGCCGTCCATTCTTCCACTTCGGCCTTCTTCTCCTCCGGAGATCCCTCTTCCCCTTTAGAGGAGACAATATCGCTGAGCTGTTCAACGATGAAGCGCATGACGACACTGGGACTGGCTTCCTCACCATCGAGCTTGGCGTGCTGAAGGGACGGGGTTTCGTCAAAGTTTTTGGAGAGAACCGAGGGGGGGATGGTCCAGAAAGCGTACCGGTTCTGGGAGAGGAAAAGCTCCAGATCGGGCTTGATCGACTTGGCTGTGCGGAGGGCGTGGAGGATGTAGTCCTGGGCAGAAGCAGGGGACTCTTGGGTCTGGGGGACAGGAGAGGCGAGGGAAGGGAGGGGGATGTCATGAACTGAAGTTTCCTCAAGGGCTCCCTTAGGGGTTTCGGCGCGGGCGTCCTCAACAGCCGTGATCATATCCCTGATGGGGTTGATCAGGTAGCTCTGCAGACGCGGCAGGTTGGGCGGTTCCTGCCGGAGTAGATGCTCAAAGTGCTTCTCGTGGAGGTAGGGGAGCTTGTCGAAAGAGACGACGATGTCACCCTTGCTGAACTTGAAGGAGAACCGGTCGACCATATCTTGGAGCGTCATGAAGTCGGGCTCGCCACTCTTCTGGCTCCACCCGAGCAGGACGGCAAAGTTGAGCAAAGCCTCGGGAGGGATCTGGTTGTCCTTGTACCAGGACATGTCGACGCCCTTGTGGCGCTTGCTCAGCTTTTGGCGCTCTTTGTCGACGAGGAGGCCGACGTGAGCAAATTTGGGTGGTTCCCAGCCGAATGCGTTGTATAGCTCGACGTGTTTGGGGGTCGAAATGAGCCATTCCTGAATGGTGAAGGGTTAGCAGATATAGGGAACATGACTGGTAGGTTGAGGAAAATACAACGTACGGCGCCGCGAATGACGTGAGTAATCTTCATGGCCCGGTCATCAACGATATTGGCAAAGTGGTAGGTTGGAAAACCATCACGCTTCCGGATGATGAAGTCCTCCTCGGGCTCCCTCTTGCGGTAACGGGTATAGAGGATATCCTCGATAATGATGGGCTTGTCGCTGCTCTTGAATCTCACGGCATACTTTTCCCCTTTGGCAGCTCTGTCGTCTGATTCCTCTAGTGAGACGTTGCGGCATGTGCCGGGATACGCTGTCGACTCTCCAGACTCGTGTGCGGCCTGCTTGTGGCGCTCAAGATCCTCGGGCGAGCAAAAGCATCTGTACGCTTTGCCCTCGCGGATCAACTGGTTGGCATGCTCGTCATAAAGTGACAGCCGTTCGGACTGGCATATGTGAATGGTTAACCAAACCCCCACCCGTGACACACCAGAGCTGCTTTGCGTCTTACCTGCCTATACGGTCCATATGGTCCCTGAACATCGGGGCCTTTTCACAAAACAAACCGAGTTAGCATGAAGAAGCAGGTATAAAAGACGAGTGCAGACTCATGGGTCGTCATTGCCTGCCTTCATCCCAAGAGAGGCCGGCCCATCTCAAGTCATCAAATAGCCTCTGCTCAGCGTCGTGTACAAGGCGAGTCTACGGATACAATAGAGAGCATCAGCCTCTGCTCCTTCTACGAATTGACCACCTGTGATCCTGGGGTACAAGGTGCTGAGTAGTAATCACCTGGTCTGTGTCTTCGATGCGGAGAATGAACTGGCCGCCGGTCGCCTTGGCAAGAAGGTAGTTGAATAGAGCGGTCCTCAGAGATCCCAGGTGCAGATATCCGGTAGGCGAGGGCGCAAAACGGGTACGGCACGGTGAGTCTGGCAGCTTCCACTTATCCTCAGCCTGTCTTTTCTTGGATCCTTTCAAGACGCCTTTACCTTGTTGTTGCTGCGTAACTTGCGTTTGATGTGGGCAGAGGGTGGATCTCGTCGATGAGAACCACAAACGCCGCGAAGAAAGACTTGAGACACTCGCAAGAGAAGGACAGCCTGGCCTCCTCAACAGTAGCCCTATGCCCCTCATTTTTCAGACTGTCACCTCCCTTTTTTTGGTTTTTGAATTGTGAAGTCAGATGCTGAGACTAACAGTATGAGAAGGTGGAGGGAGCAAGATAGCATGTGAGAGTTTGGATCACGAACAAGAATGTCTACAGCCACAGAAGCGGTTCTGGAGTCTTACTGCGGTAGTCGGTAATGTGGCGGTGCGATCCATGGTCCAGTGGTAGAAGTGGGTATTTGGGGGTTGTGGAGCCCGCTCAGTTTTGAACCGAACTTCAAGTGGACCCTGGGGTGTCATTCTGCAGTCTTGGCATCTCTTCGCACTTCCAATTCTGAAAAGACTGGAAAGTCAAGGGTCGTTCGCTGGCGTGTACTAGAGTAGATGTACCTATGTATGTAACATGGATATCGTTATCACCGAACTACTTAGCGATACTAACATCGCCCAGAAGTCTATGACGAAGCGCTCGTAAGGTTATTTTAACACAACTTTTTACAAAAAATAAACCAGCCGCCATACACGACAGAACACCTTGTAGGCGAACATCAAGTGATGTCGGTGTTTGGGCAACCTGGAGTGCATGCCCGTGCATGTGTAGAAAAAAAAAAAAAAAAAAAAAAAAAAAAAAAAAGGTAATCGCGGGTGGGCTAAAATGGATGGCGCTGTGCGCCTTATTGCTTCCCGACCGTCGTTATCAGGAACACAGCGATACGGATACCGCCTTCCATGAGGGGAAGCTGCATTTGTCCTTCATGACATACTTTCCATAGGTCGTTATACGATTCTTTTTTGGGGGGCAAAGGTCTCAGCAGTACATGTGTCTCTTCCGTCGCTCGATCACTTTTCGCAAAGAAAGGTTGACGGTGGGTTATCAAACAAACTTTGACTCAGCAGTAGCTAGCAGGTGAAGTACCCAAAAGGGAGCCGGGTATCCAACGCGGGGCCGCTTAAAATTTCCTATAACGAGACGGAAAACGAAAAGGAACCTCCCTCCTCCATCCGTCCAGTGTCCTCTTGGTGCAAAGACCACAGTCTCCCCGCCTTTCGTCACTTGCGAGCTGCCCTTTTTGTCAACCGGATTCTTGACGGGGTATATCGACCGATCCTTCAACCAGAAAAAACGACTTTACAGCGTTAAAGGACCCCAGATTCGCTATCACCATGAGCAGCAGCAGCGGCGACGAGGGCGACCTCGATCTCTATGGTATGCCCGCCATTAAATACCATTTGGCCGCAATACCGGCAATCTGTTTCGGCATGTACTAACTCGCTTCGTGTAGCCATCCTCGGCGTCGACAAGTCGGCCAGCCCGAATGACATCAAGAAGGCTTATCGCAAGGTGGGCTAAATCACCACGCACACAACTGCCTGTCTAAAAGCTCCTAGATGTTGTGCTGACTCTTCGATCTCCAGCTCGCATTGATTCACCATCCGGACAAGGTCCCCGAGGACCAGCGCCCCGAAGCCGAAGTCAAGTTCAAGGCCATCGCCCAGGCGTACGAGATTCTTAGTGACGAAGAGAAGCGCGAAATGTACGACGTCCACGGTATGGCTGCTTTCGATCCCTCAAGGGGAGGCGGCCACGGCGGCCATGGCGCCAACATGGATGATATCTTTGCTGCCATGTTCGGCATGGGCGGTATGGGCGGCATGGGCGGCATGCCTAGACGCCCCAAGCGCAGCCCAGATGAAGAGCAGCCCTACAAGGTTACGCTCGAGGAGCTCTACAAGGGCAAGACTGTCAAGTTCGCTGCCGAAAAACAGGTTGTCTGCCGCCAGTGCAAGGGCACCGGTGCTAAGGAGAACGTAAAGCCCAACAAGTGCGAGCGCTGCAGGGGTCGCGGTCTTGTAGAGGCCTACCAGTCCATCGGCCCCAACATGGCTCGTCAAGTTGTTATTCCCTGCGATCACTGCTCTGGCTCTGGTATGCACTATAAGGAGAAGGACCGCTGCAAGAAGTGCAAGGGCAAGCGGACTTGCAAGGAGACCAAGGCTCTCGAGCTCTACATCCCTCCCGGCTCCATGCAGGGCGATAGGATCGTCCTGGAAGGAGAGGCGGACCAGCTTCCGGACCAGGCCCCAGGAGACCTCATCTTCCACCTTGTCGAGGAGCCCCATGACGTCTTCACCCGCATCGGACATGACCTCTCAGCCGACCTCAACGTTGCCCTTATCGAGGCTCTGAGCGGCTTCTCACGTGTCGTCGTTAAGCACCTTGACGGCAGAGGCATCCACATCAACCACCCTCGTGGCAAGGTTCTCCGTCCCGGCGATGTCCTCAAAGTCCCCGGTGAGGGTATGCCCGTGAAGAAAAGTGATATGAAGGGCGACCTGTACCTCGTTGTGAAGATCGAGTTCCCTGAAGATGGTTGGTTGCAGGACGACAGCCAGTACGACGCTTTGGCGAAGCTCCTACCTCCTCCGCCCAAGCCAATCGAGGCCGAGGAGATCGATGACGTTGAATACGAATCTGGTGCCGATATCCAAGAGGTATGATGATCTTTCAAATATGTAAGGACAGAAGCTGTGGCTAACATTTGAACCTAGATGGGCGCTCACCAAGGTGACCCGCGCTACGGCAATGACTGGGAGGATGATGACGAAGACGAGGGTGCTGGTCCTCAGTGCGCTACCCAGTAAGGAAACACACACTCTGGAGGGAGTGCTATATACCTAGAGCATTGACAAAGTCCTCGTCGCCATCGTCCCTCAACGAGCACAACGCGCCAAGTATCGAACTCGGCGTGGGTGGCTGGGAACGAGTGGGACAGTCCAGGACTTGACAGTCGCCCAGCTGCCACACCGAGAAACGCACGACCAGGGTAGCCGTTTTCTTCAAACCTTTTGCGGTCCATATAGCTCTGTTGCAGGGCGGCGGTCCAGTAGTATGCTTGGGAGCATGGCCTAGCCTGGTTGGATAAGCGAACTACAAGTTCCTATCCGGCAGGCCATTTGCTCACACCATCATAGGACGTGGCAGGTTTGGAGGTTTTTGGTCAACATGGAGCAATGGCCGTTTCTACACATCTTGAGCGACCATTAGTGAGGCAAGCATGCTTTTAGACGTCGAGCAGTATTGCCCATCAAGCAGGCAGAATCAGCCCTATCATTTAGACTTGACACATAGACTTGTGTGTATACTCAATACCCAGCGATATGATGGCGGATGGATAAAGTTTGGTTGATAGTGAATCGGGGTAAATGTATTTGCGTGTTGTGTCAAACATTCCCATTATTATTGCTGAACTGTGAACGATGATGCGTATCGCCCGAGTGGATCCATGTAATCCAATGCGTTTGGTTTTACCTCTAGGAGGTTGAAACTCTCATCAAGATACAGTTCCCGGGTCACGAATGCCGAAGAATGACAGCGACCCAGCACATTCCGTGTTAGTTCAGTAAAATGGTTTATGTATGCCATAAAGACTCCGAATCGAAAGTGCAGTCCATAGTTGGTAATAGAATTGTGGCCGGCGAGATGCACTGCGTACAAAGAAAGAGGGAGGCAGCTCCTGAGATGGTCTCGGACGGCTGGGTGCTATCTCCAGGTGCGGCTTGACTGCCAAGATTTACAACTGCCACCCAGATGGTGACCCACACCAGTAAATCTTTGGCGAATCACAGCTGCGTACCAAGCCTCGCCTTAACAATTTCGCACAGCCCTAAGCCCACCAGCTACACTTTCTCGATTTTTTTCCCCAGGTCCCGCCGTGACGCTGCCCGCCGAAACAGTCCCCCATCACTCGATAACAGACAGTCAAGGTAGGCACCCTCGTTCAATCGTATTCTCAGTAACGAAGCAATTCTAACAGCATATTCAAGATGGTTGCCGCCAAGAAGCACGTCCCTATCGTCAAGAAGCGTACGTTTTTCCTCAATTCCGCGACTCCAGCCGACGAGAAAAAAAATAGAAATCCCCTTGCTTGCTCGAGCTCGAGGGCCGACAACTCCATCACCGCCGTTTCCCGACAACAATCGACGAAAGAGCGATGCGAATACCAGTGGAACTAGAATGTTGACGAAATATTGGTGAACAGGCTCTAAGGGCTTCATGCGCCACCAGAGTGATCGCTTTATGCGTGTGGACTCGGCATGGCGCAAGCCCAAGGGTATCGATAACCGCGTCCGCCGTCGCTTCAGGGGCACTCTTGCTATGCCCTCGGTACGTTTGGCCATAATCCGGTGGTGGAAGAAGACGGAGCGAATCTGGACGGGAACCGCAGGATTGGATTGTCCCAAGCCCCTGGACAGAGACGCTCCGCGGGTGATCGTTGGGAAAACGATTGGGAAGTTCAAATCGATCAAACGGCTAACCAAACGCGACTTGTTTCGCGCTTCTAGATCGGCTATGGCTCCAACAAGAAGACCCGCCACATGATGCCCTCCGGCCACAAGGCTTTCCTCGTCAGCAACGTCAAGGATGTCGAGCTCCTCCTCATGCACAACAAGACCTACGCTGCTGAGTACGTTACATCGATATCCATTCATTTCTTGGGGACATTAGTCGGATTCGGGATCGTGGAGTCGCTTTCGCGATATTCAATGGACAATGGAGGCAACGAGCAAGGGCGATGCAATGGACTGTCGCTAATATGCTTGACTATAGGATCGCCCACAACGTCTCTTCCCGCAAGCGCATCGAGATCATTGCTCGCGCTAAGCAGCTCTCCGTCAAGGTCACCAACGCCAAGGCCAAGGTTACCACCGAGGTCTAAATCTTCCTGTCTTCATCGTCATAAGGGGGCACTTTTTTCGTCATGTGTGATTCTGGGAGCATCTCAAGGCGGTCTCAACGGGAAATGGGTTCTGCTTTCTTTGGTCAGCGGGTTTTCTGCTAGCAACCAATCCAGGCTAGTGAAAATACAAACGCGGCTTGCTTGTCAAGGCACACACTACGCAGACCAAGCATCTACTACCACTGGACATACACATACAGCCAACGGACGGGAACGGCGTTGTGATGAGGAAGGCCAAGACGTTGGCCTCTCATCGTATTAGTTGTCTCTGAGATATGGGACAGCACTGCACGGACAGAAGATATGAAATGATACCAGACCAATTTGACGTCAGGCAGATCCAAAGCAGTTGTGCCATGTGAATGGTATCGTGTAAACTGATGTCCGAAAATAGGCCCGTTGCCCGCTTCTCAGAGTTGACCTGACTACATTAGCACGGCCATTCAGAGCTGATGCCAGTTTTGTTGGAAGAACAGTGAGAAGTCCCAGCGACCATATCCATCCTTCTTTCAAGACACTTGGCTCTTGTTTCCAAAGGTCACACGACACACCCGTGGTAGTATCTCGCCTTCCGTCACAAAAAGCGGTAGCGGTACCTAGAACGGATCTTCACGCTTAGGCCCTGATCGGCTGGATGTGCTTGGGGTAGGAGCACACAGTTTTAGGTACTTGGGAAGTGTGGAGTTGGGTGGGGTAGAAGAGAAAGTATCGTTGTTGTGTGCTCGGTTGTTGTGTGCTTTCTTAGTAACGTGGTCTGGAGCCTCTTGTTCGAACCGCCAAAAAAGGACTAAAGAAGGAGCGAGCACACACTGAATTATAATTTTAATTGGTGTTTAGCTTAGAGGTGGAGTAGGTGGATCAATCGGTACATTGAGTCTTGGCGAATGCGAGTGCAGAGACGCCTTTTTAAAAAAAAAAAGGTCCGGGCGTCGACGAATGAAGGAAAGCGACTTTGGTAAAAGAAGAGGTTATCCATTTGCATTGTAACCAAACGCCTAAATATTCTCCAAAACCCTCTGTACTCGACGGAAGCACATCCAGCCGATCAGGGCCTTAGAGGCAAGTATGCAAGTCTAGGCCCATCACAAGTGACATGAAAAGGTCCCAATTGAGGGTCGAGGTATCCCTGGAGTAGACAGGACGTCGAAGAGGATGGCAAAGTTGGTTCTTTAGTGTACTTGCTCCCTAGTCAGTAAATAGAAACTCGTTATCTTATTGCCACGACGAGACCAAGTGACCGGAACTCGCTTCAGACTAACTAACGTACCTTGTGGAGAGCTGAGACACAGCCTTGGGACATTTTTTTGGGTTTTTGGTTATCATACCATTACTTGATATTCTCCGACTCTTAGCTCGTTTAGCGGTTCCGTTCGACTCCGGGGAAGGATTGTGCATGCTCACAAGTGCAATGTCGTGGAACCGCGCGCTTCTTCTGTTGTACCACATGGACGTGTCAGTGTCGAACTATGGATGACAATGTCCGACTACCAACGTTTTGCCTGACGAAGAATGCCTAAATCGAGGTTATGTTTCAAATTCCGGTGGCAAAGTAAGTGATGATTAGGATACTATATACTATACAGAGAATAGAATGATAAGCGAGCCCTATGTATCCTAGAGGTAGTCTCGTCATTTCTATGGGTTGTGATGGCTCGGTGCCGTAAAAACTACGGAGATCCGACATTCCAGACTGTATATGACCTTAATCAATTTTCATACGTCGATCATGTACTTAATGTCACTGTGATCTTCTTGTTGGCTATGATACGAGTTGCGAGTTATGCGTCGCCCCATTGTTAGTAGGTAAGTACGACGAGGATGACTGGTGTGCAATCTTTGACTTCTTGTTGGATGAAGAACGACTGCTTTAGGGTATGTGAGAGTCAATAGTTGAGAAAATGTAAGCTACCAGGACCTCAGCTGTAGTACAATTTTCTCAGAGACCATATTGTCATTGTGACTTTTGTCAGTTCGCTAGTGTAGAGATGCTGTCCTTGATTAAGATTCATGGATATTGGCTTGGCCATCTGGGTTCATGATGGGAGGTCATAATGATATCTGGATATAAGGACAAGAATCGTAATGTTATGGATAGTATCTTACGTCGAAATTTCGGCGTTCGACTTCATGACAGCAGTGGAAGTCGACTGGAGCTTCGGACACAAAGGGATATGACTAGAGTAATTGAAAAATCAATGCTTGGTCCGTAAAGTAGATTTGAACTCAATAATAATGGAGTCCAGTGAAGATAAAGGTTAACCCTGAACATGGCAGTTGGTCAGTTCTGATGGTCTACGGTTATTATATCCATCTCTGGCCAGGGACCACAAGTACCGAAACATGGCATATGTACTTAACGATAACTACATTGTTCCTGAATAGACCTAGCCACCAACAGTATTTACAGAAACGTAAGGTTGTCTGTCCATGTGCTCGGTGTGCTTTCCGGAATTTCATGCTTCTCGTTCCAGGCATCCGGATGCATTTTAGCCGCCCGAGGAAGCCACACACGCGGTTCTCGAACAGTTGGAACCAGTCTCTTACTCGCTCATCATTTTGCGGGGTCGACTAAACCTGCATAGGTTTTGCAACAAGTTGCCCGACTGGCCAGGTCATGTTTCCATTATTCACAGATTCGGGAGGCGGGAGGGAAAAACATAACGGAGCATGTGACTTTATATACACGAAAGCAATGGTCTAGTCACTTAAAGTGCGTGCTGCTTGGCCACCTCCAGTGCTGCTGAGAAGGCTTCTACGAACAGTACGCAGTCCTTGAATGTGTTATACAACGGGGCCGGTGCGACCCGGATGACGTTGGGCTTCCGCTCGTCAACGATAACCCCGCGCGCCTCGAGCTCCTTCATGACGGTATCTAGGAGCCCGTCGGAGAGCATGAGACTCAGCTGGGCGCCTCTTTCCTCTGACTTGGAAGGGGTAATGATACGGAAGTGAGCGCGGTCTTCCTCCTTCATGTGACCGAGAGTAGCTTCAAGGAAGTTGGTCAGCTTGAGGGATTTGCTCCTCAGCGCTTCCATGCCGCCAGCCTCCTGAAAGATCTCCAGGGAAGCGCTCAGGCTGGTGATATCTAGAATGCTGGGGTTGCTCAACTGGAAGCCAGCCGCGCCCGCCACGGGGTGGAATTTGTTGGCCATGACAAATCTCGTCTTCTTGTCATTGCCCCACCAGCCCGCAAGGCGGTTATTGTAGCCCTCCTCCGGTTTCTCATCCGTGATCTCCTTGGCTACGACGCTGTTGTTGGTGTGAACAAAGAGACCGCCGATACATCCAGGCCCGCCGTTGAGGTACTTGTAGCTGCACCAAGCCGCCGCATCTACTCCCCAGTCATGGAGGTATAGTGGTACGTTACCTACCGCGTGGGCGAGATCCCAGATGACGAAGATGCCGTGCTTATGGGCAAAAGCTGTGATGGCGGGAATGTCAAGCAGCTGACCCGTGTAATACTGGATACCAGGCAGCAGCAGGAGAGCTGTGGTGTCAGCATGAGCCGAAATCACGGACAAGACTTCTTCGGTGCTGATGATGTTGTCCTTGGAGGAGGACTCTATCAGAACCATGGACTTTTCAGTTGACAAGCCATGATGACGAATCTGGGTTTCGACCGCGAACTATAACTCTTCTGTCAGTCATCCAGCTCCCAGTCTGACAGACACCCGATAGGATTGGGTTGTTTACATGGTCACTAGGGAAAGCCTTGTTCTCCAGAATGATCTTGTGACGACCATTGATATCGGGGCGATAAAAAGCAGACATCAAGAGGTGAATGTTGGCAGTCAAGGTCTGCATGACAGCCACCTCGGACACATTGGCTCCGACGACGGGCGCAATAAGCTCTGCAGCTTTGGCATCGGCGTCAAGCCACGTCGGGAGAGGCGACTCTTCAAGAGGCCTGAAATGGCCCTGCACTCCTTGAGTGGCCCATGTGGTAAGATACTGATTGAGACGGGTGACGGTTCTCTTGGGCTGCACACCCAGCGAATTGCCGCAGAGGTATATGCACTTGGCATCGTCCTCAGACGCTGGCAAGGCGGCTAGAACCGAGCATTAGCCCCCATCTTGGTGAGCCTCAGCGGGACTTCTCTTGTTCATGATTGGCGATCAAACCTGGGTGAGAGTCGGCCAAGCGGGAGCTCGCTATTTGGGCCTTAGTAGGAATGTTGAACTCATCACGGACGAAGGCGATAGAGTCCTCATTGTCCAGAGCCTCAGCCTGCTTCCGGGCGTCTTGAACCGCTGCGGTGCTCATGCTTTTTCACTTGCTGGGTGAGTTGATGGCGTGCAGTGGTTGTCGTTGTTGGTGGACTACGCGTTGCAGTCATAAAGTTGTGTGAGGCTCTTGCCGCTATCGATAGTGGAGGGTCCGATGTTGTCTTTTCTCAAATAGGAAACGACATGCCCCACCTTTCCCGTTGTCAGGGCATTGGGCTGGCGTGGCCCGTGGGTGCCCCTCACTGTTCCCCGTCGGTCCCAGGTCGTTCGGACTGACGGGATGGACTCCTCCTGAGCGGTGGGGAAGACTTCCACTTCCAAGGCCGGGCCTGAACTTAAGAAAAGATTCCCGTCTCTCGCTATCAATTTTCCCCCAATCTCAAATGGAACGCTGTCGGTTGTCAAGCGTCTGTCACCGAACCACCGGCCGCCAATCTGCAAGAGCCAACGACGGAGGATATGGAACCCACGGGGTGAAATCTCTCATGCAAGAGGCACCAGTCCGCGGCTTCTGCAATTGTATTACCGCCCACCCCAGGCATTTGACGGTCAACGCAGGACAGGTGCCTAACGATCACCTCCGACTCAATGGACACACCAGGCACTACGTTCAATGCACGCAAGCTTTCAACATGCGAGGGTCCAAGTCTCGTGAACTCGAAAGCCAGGTTGAATTCGAAAGCCCTCACTTCTCCAGAGCATGAGCGTCATCGTCTCCGCATTCCGCAATAGGTGCATCATCGGTGGCGCCTTGCCATGTGAGAAAATGCCAGTGCGATTCAGGGCCTGTTCGCAGAAGGTCGAATTTGTAACGACATCTTTTAAAAGCCTAGCGATTCTGCCTTATGCGGCCTCCATTGTCCTTGCTTTTAAGGACAACTTGCCGGTGCATGCTCCCAAGACCAGAAGGTTATGGGGAAGGGACTTCAAAATACCTGAACTGCAAGCACCTTGAAAACTCAACAAAAATGACAAACGAGACGCCAAAGGCAATGGGGGTATACACCGTAAGACAGACCCACGACGGTTCTCTCGGGTAAATCAGCAGATCGGAATGTCTACCGTGGGAAATAAGTCTTTGGTCAGCTGAGCAAAGCTTGACATGAGGCAACGGTACGAACAGTGAGACAAGAGGGATTTCACTTGTTCATTGAACTCTCGGTACTATAGCATGCTTGACCATTGTGGATTCGACCCGTGGCGGTGCTCCCCGTCTCAGCTTGTATCGAAACACTGGAGCTGAGCTGTAGTGTACATTTCTTTCGACATTGAGAAGCTGTCTCGTCAGGGGAACCTAAAGTCTGAATGAGGAGTTGGTATGTTTGGATTGGCGGGCCAGGATGTTGGGTCTGGGGAAAAAGCCTGGATTGCTTGGCGGGATTAAACAATGCCAACGGCCGGTGGAAATTCCTGAAGCCACGCTCCCGTGACCAGTCAGGTTTGTTTTGGTGGAATTTCACAGCGCTCTGCTAAAGCCTGTCGAGGAGAACACGAGACCAACAGAACTTTCGTCCCTGACAGTAGCCACAATGGTTTCCGCCAGCCCCGCCAGCCCTCCCGCAAGCGCAGCTCGCAGCTCAGAAGCGACGGTGTCAACAGGGGCAGGACTTGCCCCTCTTCGGTAGGCGATCCGGAAGGTAGAGGCTGTCGTAATCCCCGGGGGCCGTTACGGCACATCAGCGGTCAAGCCTAGAAAGAGAGTTGTGGTAGGCGGAGACTCCCATACGGACCCTCGTTGACTCCATACCAAACGCGCAAGTTTGGGCTTAGTTCTGCAACAAGAGCCAACTTCAGGATCCCGTGCGACGACCAGCTAGTTTCTATTACCCCCAGATTACTTGATGGCGTCTCTAGCACACACGGACTGGCTCAAAGAAGTACGGTTTTGGGAAAAACTGGGGGTAATGAAAACCGGCGGGACAACCACTCAGCAGCCGCCATAGGTTCCGGCTATTCCAACGGAGCCGGTCTGGAAAGACAGGGAGTAATCGCGGAGTACAGGCCACCAGGGAGCTCCAACTTCTCCAATTTTTACGTACTAGGGGCCATCACGGGACCAGCTTGTTTGAAACCTTTACGATCACAGTCAAAAATGGTCCAAATTTAACGACGATTTAGAGGCCCCAAAGCATCGATGAGGCCAGTATACACGATTATGATGCCAGTAAGCGTTTCTCAGCTCGCTGGACTCTCAATGGTCAAGCCAAGAGGCGGTAAAGAAGCACCGACGCCGTCACACAACATGATCGATGTTGACGAAATCCGAGTCCACCGGCAGCACCACCTACCTACTGTCTAAGGCTGCTTCCACCTTCCTATGGTATGCATAGTGCTTTACAGGGCTGCATGCGATGCAAAAATCTCTTCCCGTCCAGCTGCCATATCCAGCAGAGAATCCGGGATACGAAGCATCGAATACTGTGGAGGTACATCTTTGTCTCCTGTCCAGCTGCTCATTACTACTTGTATGTAAACCTAGGCTGACGGAGAGGCAAATGTCCCGGGCATTATTCAACTTCGCACGGTGTACATTACGACACTGGGTACCAACGGGGCAGACTGCACCAGAAAACCTGAACGCTTGCTTCCAGAACGTGCTCGATGGGCGATCCCCCCTATGGCCGGTTTATGCTGTGGTGAGAAGCGGGAAAATCGTGGTGAACTGTGCCTGCAATGTTCTGCTTGTTTGTCAACAGTCGACCAGTTGACCACTTGACAAGCATCAATGAGCAGGGGTGCTCCCCGTTTGAAAGTCGCTTAAAGGTAACCTGAATATGAGGCCCTCATAGCAAGTGGAAGCTCTGTGCCGCATGAATGAGTTGCGTATGTTGGTGAGAGCGAAGACGGCAGAAGGGCACGAAGAGGAGTTACAATGACTTCTTTTCAAAGGTTTTACACAGCCATAAGTTGGATGGCGACATTGACGAGGGGCCGGCAATAGGTACGAAAGACAAAAGAAGGCTACGTACAGGGAGAAACTGTCAAGTCCAACTGGAAAACCTCGAATAGCCGCTTTTCTGGAGAAGGAGAAGGGATGCCCCACTGAGGAGAGGTACGTACCCCGTACCTTGACTGCAAATAGAAACGAGGAAAGCCCCGGTTACCCGTTCAGGTACCGATCCTGTGACCCAATCAGCACAGGCCAGAAACATCCCGATCAGGCTTAGGTAGGCAGTCCGGCACGGCAAATTCGTTGGTGACAGAGCGAGAAAAGGCCCACAAGCAGGTACGTACCTGTACCCCAGACTCTCATTGGACTCTTGCGTTCTGGGGGATAAGAGTTAGCAACTCATCCATTCCTTCTTTGACGACATGGCACATCGTGAAGGGAATCAGGAAGGTACATGGGAGTTACTTTCGCTAACTCTTTACATACATCTACCTTGTCAAGTGGAAGTCAACGATCCTCGCAACCTGGCTGCAGCGTTGCAAATTTCTGACAAGCCACGCATCGTCAATACACCTATCGGTCGGGGTCCATCACGACCCATCAACGGCGGTCCATGGCTTCCCTTCTATCCTGGTAAGCTCCCATCCCCAACTCCAGAGGTCACTTGTTTGCAGCAACATGGATTGCCTACACGCCGGAACTGTGCAGCCATATAAAGAGCTCTGGGACGCCCACCCCGTCAGCCAACAGTTAGAAGGCTCGAGATCAAAGACTATACTTGATACACACACTTCATTCCTTGATGTTAAGGTCAACAACTCCAGGCCTTCTTTCTGTTATTGAGCCTTGGCCGGTTGTTTCATCCTCGGCGGTTTAACTCCGACTACCTCTAGGTCTCTTGCACCTCTATATCAACGCGCCAACCGACGAAACCCTTAGCTGTATTCCAGCCCAGCACACAAACCCGTCGTACCTCTGTGCGACAAACTCTGCCGAGTATCCTCACTCAGCGGTCAATTTTGGTAGGTGGCGCTTTTTCCCTTTTACCTGGAAAATACCCTCGGCGGAGATGTCAGGGCGATTACCTCTATAACACTAGCGATTACCCTTCCACTTGGCGACATGGACAAGACCAATGTATAAGGTACTTGGGTCACCCCTGAACCACTCAGCACGGTTTACCACCATTGCCGCTGCAACCACTACCTACACTGCCCTTCCGGGAATACCTACCTACCTACTTTCACGTCCCCCGAATACCGATCTCCCCTGGATCTTGTCTCTCCGTCCCCACCACCTTCATGTTTCCATCCGGATATTCCTTCTCTGCCCCTAATTCCCTTATCTCGTGGGATTTCAGCCGTTGCGCGGCAAGGCGGAAGTTCGCATTATATGCCACCGACGAAGGCTGGGATGCCAAGGCCGCGTGTTGCCCGAGTCCTTGCTCGGGGTGATATCTGGCGCGTGCAAAGCGAGTCCCGTAGCTCTGGATGTTGGGATGAATGCCTGGCATCATTGGGATGAATCCTGGTGTCACCTGTACCATGGAACACGCAGTCTTTTGTGCTCCTTCTCTGATTGCAATCTCTCTCGATCCTCATTCGAGTCCTTCAGCGTCCCCATTGGCGGCCAGACGGAAAGGATGAGTCGGTCAGGAACGAGAGATGGGAGATGGATTGGGACCTTTTCCAAGTCGCCATGGAAAATGGAACCAGCCGTTTGAGTGGCTCACCATTGAGGGCTCCTGGCCAACAAGCACACGATTCCTTTCACAATGCGCATCGTGTTATCTGGTCAGTCTTGAAAGCCGCGTTCTAACAGGCCAACAGGAATCTGGGCATTGCTGTCAACAAAATACCTCTGACAGCTTCTCACACTTGTCCTCTTTGTCTCTCGAAGCCTCCGAGACACGCTTACCCTTATCGCTGGACCGGTTGCATCTTGCCTTGGTTCTTGCCCCTCCAGGTACCATTCCTCTATCGCCCCGCCAACGAGCACACCAGCATCACAGCATCACTCTACCGACGCCTGTGATCTTCTCGAAATAGCACAGGTCCTCATACACACGGATACCTGCCGCCCAGCATCAGCACCTAAGCGCAAGTATCTGTGCTGCTCTGAAATTGCCAATCCCTTTTGATCTGCCTAGGCGGATAATCTCGACTGTCAAGCAAAGTTCTGACCAGGTACGTCTCCCTCGCATACGCCCTCAAAAGGTTCTGTCTTTCTCTTATCAGCACGAGATGAAACACGAAAGCATGGCTTAAGGCGCGGTAAGCACAAACTCGCATGCCGGAGCTTACACTCCCGCAAAACCAAACGAGGCGCGCTCGTTTTTTCCTGCCGTCCCAATTTGGCGGCATCGAGTTTGTCTTGCCGTTATCAATGCCATGTTGCCGTGTCACCCTTTCTCCCTTCCCTGGCTCACGGCTGTGCCACGATTTGTGGCCGACCTGGCTTATCCGATCCCGGGGGCTTGACCTGTTTGACCTGATACGGGGCCTTCCATGTTCTGGTTATTCTTGTTTTCACGTTGAGCTTTCTGATATCGGTCATACCACGGTCAAGATGAAAGGCCAACGGCTGTCATTGCACCATGAATGCCCTACAAAACTCCCTTCTAGAAGCCTCATCGTTCCCTCCTTCTTCGTCATTTTCCCATCTGTCTCTGTACACCTCATTCTACACACGTTGATTGTAGCCTGGGAGGCTTTTGTCACCTCACTCCAATCGCCATGGCGGACGTAGTGATTCCCCTCCCAAGCACTGGGGGCTACAAGCGCAGAGCATCTGGCTTGACCATTCAAACTGACCTTCCCATGTCTAGTTTTCCCGAACTTTTCGAGTCCTCAGGCGATACCATGATGGATTCTCCTTCAGCCCCGGTCCCAGCCCACAAGTTGGTTGATCGCCTCAAAGATCAGACGCCCAGACATCCTTCTCCTCAACCAACTCATGTCAGCTATCCCAAGGTGAACGGCAATGGGCACAGGGTGCTCCGCTCCGCAACTGTTGGATATGTTGCCCCTGTCTTCCAGGGAAAGGCAGAGCAGATGAAGCAAGGTTGGTAATTCTACGCAGATACTGTGCTATATCATTTACTGATATTCATCACAGTCAAGGATATCATTGTCCAGGGCGGCTGGATTCCTGAGACTCTGGTTGACGGTCAGATTGCTTGGTTCTATAATGAGCTTGGCATCGATGACGTCTACTTCCAACTAGAAAACCCTCAGGCGGTTGCAAATCATATCACATCTCTCTATGCGGCCAAAGTTGCTGCTTTCTCTCGCGAGGACAAGCGGGAAGAGATCAGACTGGATATGGAAGCCTCGGACCACGCCATTTACATCGACACAAGCGAACCCGGCATGACCTCCTTCGACGGTCCGCGATATGAGCACAGACTCGAGTCCAAGTACTTGGATGGCGACGATACTTCGAAGCGCTTCCGTGTCGAGACTTTCAGATCCCCCGGTGTCCTGGGACAGAAGGAGAACTCCAAGGCAGCTCTTCGTTGCTACTTTGTCTATCAGTGTCTCTTCGTTGATTCTAACGCCGATCCCAAGGAAACTCGCCTGGAAGTGATCAGCGACCGCATGTTCCTTGCCAAGGCTACCAAGAACACCAAGCAGATCTACCAGGACATCATCCAGGTTGCCGTGAGCCGACATGGCCCCGTCATTGAGGTTTTCGACATCGAGGGCTCGGAGGAAATGAGACTGGTAGTTGCCTTCCGCTCTCGAACAGCAAAGGGTATCTTCAGCGCCCTCAGCGACCTTTACCACTACTACGGCGTCACAAGCTCTCGCAAGTACGTTGAGCAGTTCTCCAATGGTATTACCGTCATGAGTATCTATCTGCGCCCTGCTGCGAACATCGACGGCAAGCACCCTCCTCTTGAGCAATCTATTCACCAGATTACCAAGGAAATTTCCTTGCTGTACTGCCTTCCCCAGAACAAGTTTCACAACATGTTTGCCTGTGGTGAACTCAGTCTGCAGGAGACTATCTATGCCCACTGCGTCTGGGTGTTTGTTCAGCATTTCTTGAACCGTCTTGGAACAGAGTACACTTCGCTCATTGCAGCCCTGGACCCCAAGAACAACTCGCATGTTGAGATTCTCTCCAAGATGAAGAAGCGTCTGCGTACCGAGACCTTTACGCCTGACTACATTCTTGAAATCATCAGCTCCCACCCACAACTTGTGCGCGCTCTCTACGCCTCGTTCGCCAGCGTTCACCTTCGGGTCGGCAGCGATTATGATCGCCACCTCATTGCGCCTACGCCTGTCATGGAGGTCCTCTCTGATGCCAAGCTTAAGGAGAAGATCACCAAGGACGTCTCTAACGAGCACGAGGAAATGGTTATGACTGCCTTCCGTGTATTCAACAATGCAGTCCTCAAGACCAACTTCTTCACTCCCACCAAAGTCGCTCTGAGCTTCCGGCTTAATCCCTCGTTCCTTCCGGAAGTCGAGTATCCCAAGCCGCTGTACGGAATGTTCCTCGTCATCACTTCCGAGTCGCGAGGTTTCCACCTCCGCTTCAAGGATATTGCACGGGGTGGTATTCGTATTGTCAAGTCTCGAAGTAAGGAGGCTTACCAGATCAATGCCCGCAATCTCTTTGATGAGAACTACGGTCTTGCCAGCACCCAGCAGCGCAAGAACAAGGATATTCCGGAGGGCGGATCGAAGGGTGTCATTCTCCTTGACCCCAAGCAGCAAGACAGGCACCGCGAGGCCTTTGAGAAGTACATCGATAGTATCCTTGACCTTCTTCTGAAGGCTGAGACGCCTGGCATCAAGAACCCCATTGTCGACCTCTACGGCAAGGAGGAGATTTTGTTCATGGGACCGGATGAGAACACTGCTGACCTTGTCGACTGGGCCACTGAGCATGCCCGGGCTCGCGGCGCTCCTTGGTGGAAATCCTTCTTCACTGGCAAATCACCACGTCTTGGTGGCATCCCTCACGACTCCTATGGCATGACAACCTTGTCGGTCCGTGAGTATGTCAAGGGTATTTACCGCAAGCTTGAGCTTGATCCCTCCAAGATCAGAAAGATGCAGACTGGTGGTCCCGATGGTGATCTGGGAAGCAACGAGATTCTGCTCAGCAACGAGACTTACACTGCTATCGTTGACGGATCCGGTGTCCTCTGCGACCCCAACGGCATTGACAAGGATGAGTTGCGCCGTCTTGCCAAGGCTCGTGCTATGATCTCGAACTTTGATATCGCCAAGCTTTCCAAGGATGGTTATCGTGTGCTTTGTGACGATACCAACGTCACACTCCCCAACGGAGAGGTTGTGCACAACGGCACTGCATTCCGTAACACGTACCATCTTCGCGACAACGGCATCACTGACATGTTCGTGCCTTGCGGTGGCCGTCCCGAGTCGATCGACCTCTCCTCAGTCAACAAGCTTATCAAGGATGGAAAGTCAACCATCCCATATATTGTTGAGGGTGCCAATCTTTTCATCACTCAAGATGCCAAGCTCAGGCTGGAGGAAGCCGGCTGCATCGTTTACAAGGATGCCAGCGCCAACAAGGGCGGTGTAACCAGCTCATCGCTCGAGGTCCTTGCCTCCCTCAGCTTTGACGACAAGGGCTTCGTTACCCACATGTGCCACGATTCCCGCGGCAATGCGCCCGAGTTCTACCAGGCCTATGTCAAGGAAGTGCAAAACAAGATCCAGGACAATGCCCGCCTCGAGTTCGAGGCCATCTGGCGGGAACATGAGCAGACTGGCCTTCCTCGATCTGTTCTCTCTGACAAGTTGTCATTGGCCATCACCTCTCTTGACGAGGATCTCCAGCGTTCAGAGCTCTGGGACAACGAGAAGATTCGCAGGTCCGTCCTTGCCGATGCGTTGCCCAACCTTCTCATCAACAAGATCGGCCTCGATACCATCATCGAGCGTGTTCCCGATTCGTATCTGAGGGCCATCTTTGGCAGCTACCTCGCCAGTCGCTTCGTCTATGAGTTTGGTAGCTCGCCCAGCCAGTTTGCTTTCTATGATTTGTAAGCCTACCTTGAACATTCCTGAAGTGATAACCAAGACACTAACTCTCTTCTTAGCATGTCAAAGAGAATGGGAAACATCAACAAGGAGTAAATCCCTGATTGCTCGCAAACACAACATCAATCGTGATTGTTCGTTTCGGTTACCTAGAATGGGTATTGGCGCCAAAAAAAACAAATAAAGAAAAAAGAGGAAAAAAAAAAAAAAAAAACGTTGATATGGGTTGACGAAAGAAGAAGTTTTTCATTCGATTTGGACGAATAGTCATGTTGACTTTGAAATGCTCACCTAAAAGGTTTTAGGGCAATACATATGGAGTTCACATCCGGGGCTTGATTTGCATTGATAGAGCGTTAGCGTATGTCTAGAGAGGCCTTATATTTAATTGACCTCTTATCTCATATAGAACCTTTTCACCACACGCATCATGTTGAACTTGCACTTTTCTTTTCTCCCAGACAGCCTTTGTTTACTAGGCAATGCCTTATCAACCACACCTTCACGCTTGGTCGACCGACATCAAACACGGATCCTTTCTGGCTCTCGGAATAAGGGGTCATTCTCAGCCCTTCGATACAAGATAACAAAGTTGGCGTGCTCCATGTAATCGAACCTGAGTCATCATTATCTGCTGCAGGTTCTACCGGATGTAACAGCGGCTCGGTTGTCATCCCGCTCTGCCTCAGCTTCCAGAACATGTATGGAAGAAAATGGATGGCGACACAACGTCTCCTATGTAAGCCTGAATGGAGCCGCACGAATAACTCAGTGAGCCGTCGACGGGATGACGGACCTTGGATAGCCGATGAATAACAGAGGCGAAGATCCTGGAAAGACTGGACCGGATGGCACTTGGTAACTGAATGATATCTTTCTGCTCTACAGGGTTACACAAGGGCCGGGACTCGGGACTTGATGTCTGTAGTCTGGTGTACAAGGGTAACAAGACAGGAGTAGACTGGTAGATGTACTACTTGACGTGACGCCCGATACCAAATTTTGAGTCAGACCTTTCCGATACTACTTACACAGTAGGTGATAGTCTGTTCTCTGAAGTGCTACCTATGTGCAATGTGTTTCCGGATGGTGTCTCTTGCGGCCGGCCTTGAGTGGAACCACGGAACTGGAGATAATGAAAGTACCTTGGCATTCTTGAGCTGCTATGTTTAAGTTTGGGATTGAGGAGGATATGAGTGAAACTCGGGAAGATAGGCACAGGCTGTGAGTGAGTGTGCTAGGAAAGCCATAGCTAGGTAGGTAGGTACCTAGGTATTGACTGTGGGCGCGAGTCGCTGTGTAACGTTTGGACAGTGTTGCCCATCCAACCACAGAACGGTACTCTACTGATAACTGAATAGTAGATGACGTCTGGCAATACTTATGTCTAGTGTGTATCTTGAGAGAGCATAATGGGAGGAACATGACCAACTGAACCTCCAACTTCAACTCGAGTCAAGTCAGACGTGTAGACCGGCCCTCGACAAGGGGCTGAATGAAAGTGGTGGCAAGAAAACGAGGCGAGCGAGGATCTGGGGCATGTATGACAGGTGCCCTATTTGTGATGGAGAACTGCATTCAAGAAAAAAATATTACATCTAGGACGAGAGTACTGGATCGAAAGTACTTACGAGCTTCCTCTGATCTTGATGTGAGCTCATTCGGACCAACTCGGCCCGACCAAACTTCGTACGTTAAAAGATCAGCGCAGTATAGTAATCCCTTGAATACTTTCGGGTTGATCTGTTCTGGATCTTAGTTCTGAACACACAAATGTAGAGGTACTTGTACACAGTCCGTGCTTATCTTGTTTAATGGTTTGTGTCGAACGGAGAATTGGGACATGGATATTTTTACACACCTGCCCATCACACACATCTTGTATTTTCATGCTTGTACTTACAGTTGCACACGTACTCACGTACTCCCTTTCCCATTCATGCTTCTAGAGCCTGAGTGGCGAATGTCCTTCCATACCTAGGTAACCAGTGAGGAGATTGGAGACCATATGGGCATCTGGCATAATATTTCCAATAAAGATTAAGACTGGATTTGTTCTCGCACGTAGCGTACGCAAACAAGATCAAGAAGTTCGTGGTGGCATGTTGTCATTCGGCATTGAGAAGCAAGAGCTCACAGTAAGACTGGAGTATAGCGAGCAGCTTAACCACCGTCCAGATAGCACAATATCCAGCCGAGTAGATCCACTGCGTGAGAACTGAAGCTTCAGTTACTTACCTCTACCTACCTCTACGTAGAGTATGGTCGTTACCTCTAGGCACTCAATTGCCGGGCGATTGAGAAGGCACAACCCTTGCAGGGAAAGACTGGAACACGCAATTAGGTGCTCCCTCGTTGACTGATGCCTCACAACAGTTTCTGAGCTTAATACCATGAGATCTCCTGAGTGAGTCCCCCTTCTAACAGATATCTCCCCAGTGTACTTACTTCAGTAGTGGTCATGGAAGAGCTCTTGCCGCAATTTGATGTTCGTAGTTCACTGCAGTTCTTGATGAGCCTGTCCGTGCTGCTTGGAGTGCAGTGATCCAATGCCATGGGATTCATGGCGCAGTAGAAGTACACACTGCACGCAATGCAATAGTATCGAGACGGAGGCCGGGATTGTCAACGGCCAGCGGCAATCTTGCTCCTGATCGTCTGACACTGCAGCCATAGTCGGTGCAGTCAGTGGGCTTGCAACCATCGTCCACTACCTCTTACTGCAGGCACTTCAAAGACATTTCCGTCTTCAGTTCTCGGTTCAGTTCGCAAGATCGGTACCAAGTAAGTGTCCTGTAAAGTAGAGCGTTATGATGCATTATTCCTACCGTCCCATCACTTAAACTTAACTCTACCAACCCGAACCACTGCAGTTCAAATTACTAGTCCCAGTCGCTCCTTCGCGTCTGACTTACATTGGGGTCACTCACAATCCGCACTCATGGCCCTGTAGGTGTATCGCAGCCGAGTGCCCGTCTAATCCAAGTTCGTTATTACTTCACTGAACTTGAAACTTGAAAGGGGAAAGAGCAGAGGGGCCTTCGGAGGGCCGGGGCATGTACCTCTTTACAGGACTCGGACTGTAAATACGTCGGACTCAAGATGACCATCAGATACCTCTACTCACTTATTGATCGCTCTACTAGTAGCGGCGTCATCAACAGAGTTCTGACTGCACACTGCAGTTCGCTGTTCACAGCCAAGTACACCGCACTTCCCGACCACCTTGCATGTCTTGCTGTTAAATTATCAAATAGTATTATATACGCTGTTGATCTCTGCTAGTGCCATATCCAAGGTGTCTTCCATCTTCAAAAGCCATTGATGAGTGGGAAGCAAAATCCTCAGTCCGGCACCTTTTAAGTGGTCCGACTCTGTCCCCGAGTCTCTCCGTCTATGTACAAATTCGCAATAACATAATGTATATACCTAGTAACCTCTATTGTCATTTCAGTTCCCCCACCCCTGCATTCAACTCAGCTGTTCCAAGACAGCCGCTTGTTTCCACGAACAAGGTTTTTGTTGTCCTTCACACTCACGCCAATGTGAGTAGTACAACGAAAACGAATGAAAAAAAAAAAAAAAAAAGAAGGAAAAAATAAACTAGGACAATAAAACGTAATGTCAAAACGACACCAACTCGGATATCGAGAAAGAAGAATGATTACAGAATTATAAAAAAGACACCGTCCACTCCCTCATAGTCCGTCCGACTGCTTCAGGTATTCGCACTCGCACTAAAACTCCTACTCAGCCTATGCCCAACGATATCCGGCCTGGGCCCGCCAATGGCTTCAATAGAGCCAGGTCCCACAGCAGCATGTGCAGTGACCGGCCTCCTATTCTCTAAATCTTCACTACGCTCAGCTTCTTCTTCCGCGACCTCTTGAAGGGCCCGGTCGCTGTTCAAGATATCGTCGCGGGGAGCCGAAGTGGGACCGGGACTAGGCTGTGATTGACCCCCACGGTCCTTGAGTCTGTTGGAGATGGCACTGAGCTTATCTCTCAAGTATCCCGCCTTCCTCTGCGTCGCCTCTGAGCTCTCCTTGTCGTCTTTCAGCACCGTGTTGGACTGTCGCAGCATCGACACACCGCTGCTGGTGCCAGGTCGGGATATGGTTTCCCCATCGCCGTTGGAAGCGGGACTGGCGCCGGATGTTCCTCCACCACTGCTACCGAACAGTCTGGACCCGGCACTGGTTGCAGGCCGGAGCAGGCTAAACGCACCCCGATGCGGTTGGTTGCCATCCATACCCGGCGGTAGGATAGGTGTCGGCGGGGTCATGGTGAAGCCGACGGCTGGTGGCCCAGATGCAATCGACTGGGCACTGCTACTAGTACCAGCCGTGGCGGTGGTCTGCGGCACGAGTGGTGATCGCTGCGAGGAAGCAATGCTAGAGCTCCGGCTCTCCGAGCTGGGGACCACCGATACTGTTTGCGAGCGTGCAATCGACCGCGGCGGCGAGCGAGAAAAGTCCACGATGGAGGCGTTGTATATCGAAGACGAGTCATCCCCGCTGTTGTCGCGTGATTCTGAGAGAATAGGAGCTAGTAGAACTGAGCTTGTGGCGAGTTCGCGAAGCTTGGATTGCTGTGCAGTGTTGGGCCGGTGTTTGGAGAACTTGTTGCCAATAATGGCGCCCGTGTGGCTGATGAGGGCTTTGATGATGCGATTCTTGAGATTGAGGGCCAGGTCAAGGTTGGACCATGTCTTGTTCTGGTATTCGATGGTGGGTAGCCTGAACACAAAGTTGTGCACGTCCTCCAGGTTACGGTCTCCCTTGCCCTTGTAGCTCAGGCAGAGTACCACCGATGGCATCTTGATGTAGGCAAAGGTCATGTAATTGGAGGCCCGGTCAATCATCTTGGTTAGATCGTCCGACTTCTTCCTCTTCTCCACGTCCGCGGCCGTCTTGCGCAGCATGAAGCGAGTTCCCTTCTTCGTCTCCGGATTGGAGCTGCCATCCTTGGATGACAAGCCCGTGGATGTCCTACCAACGCTAGGTCGTGGAGTGCTCGGACGAAGTGATGACTCGTCAGAAGGTGGTTTCTTAGACACCGTCTTGAACCCAGTACCGACAGACCGGAAGAGTCTGAAGGAGCTTCCTTCTCCAGTGTGAATGCTCAAGGCCTTGTTGTTTTTGCTAGGTGTGGCTTCCGGATCGGATGTCAAGGTAGGGCGCAGGCGCAATTCGAGAGAGCCCGCCCGTGTTGAGAAACCTCCCAACTCCCTATCACTGTCTGGTATCCCAACGGTTTCGAGAGACCCATCGTCTTCCGCATCCTCGTCATCCTCCGGCAAGGTCTGCTTGATGATGAAAGGAGACGTGTTCTTGGCGGCAGTGGCCTCGTCACCATCAATACCAGGGAAGACGTACTCGAACAACTTTTTACCGACCTCCCTCTCCAGCTGAATCTTGAGCGGGAAGAGAGCGACCTCGAAGTGATCCATGACAGGAATACCGGCGATGGCCTCGAGCATGTGGAAGTACACCCGAATCATTGGCTGAGAGGTAGGGTCAAAGCCACCACGGTGACCATCAACGTACGGCGCGACCATCACGGGGTAGATTGCGTCAGGAAGGAGGTTGAGACCAAGTATGCTTCCGACCTGAATCAAGTTCACGTGCGAGCCGTCCGAGTTGTCGGTACGGTCATACTCGACGTTCTTGAGCTGGAGTTCGACAAGCGGTTCGCTAGTGTCCCGGATGAGGTGCCACACAATCTCCTTTGCTGTGATGCTCCACCTCAGGAGTGGACTGCTTGTTGAGCTTTCGTACTTGCGTTGAGACGATGTGATGGCTTTCATCATGAAGAAAAGCTCATCCTCGCAAGCGGCCAAATCGCGTTCCAGTACCAGTCGATCTTTCCACCCTCTCTTATCCATGTACTTGCCATGGGTTTGGAAGTGGGTTTTGATATCTTCCAATTGCCGGACACGCTCTTGAAGTTTGATCACCATTTCAGGGGCACCTCTGAGGTCGCTAAAGTCCGAAGCAAGCATAATCTTCTCAAGCCTCTCGCTGCGCGTCTTCTCCAGAGGCTCACTGTACATCAACAGATCCACCACGATGACGTAGAATGCATAATACTGAGATGAGTTGCACAATGCGTGAGCCTGGGGGAATTCGATCCAGAGGTTGTCCATTCTGGATTCGGTGTTGTCTGCAGCCGCCCCGTCGTCATTGTCGGTTGCTTCGCTGGCGTTCACTTCGTCGTTATACTTCAATCGAAGCGTGTTGTAATTGTCATATCGTAACATAGCAGACGTCTTTTTGACAACGCGTTTGAAGCCAAAAGGATCTGTCTCAAAGTCGAACATGACCTCCATAGGAACCCAAGGCGGCCACGAAGACCCAGCGGGAGTCCCGTAAGTATTCCCCGAGTACATGGACACCAGCTGTGTCGAAAACCACTTCTGATGGGTGACGAAGAACTGTGTACTGTCCATGTTGACGAGGAAACGTCGCTGAACGAGACCACTGACAGTATCAAACAATCTGCTTTGGTCCATCACATCGACAATCTTCAGCTCCATGCCTTTAGCGGCAATGAGTACCACGTGTTTCTTGTTCTTGTCGCTCTGCAATTGAATCTGCGGCGCAATGACACGAATATGGTAGCTGCTTTGGGCCATGTACTCTTTGGCGATACCGCTGGCGAGGTCGGCCATGGATGGACTCCCAGGCCCTGCATCCTCGGCACTGGCGAATTTCTTGCCATCCTCCAAGATTTTGCGAATCCTATCCTCAATGTCTCCCTGGGTGTCCCTCTCTGCACCATTGACATTGGGACTACTTGCTGACGGAGTCGAGTTGCTTTCTTTTGCCACTTTGTTCTTGTTTTGCTCCTCAACGATGTCCAGAATGAACTTGACCGCCGGCCGCGACATATAGTAGACGAACCCTCGTCGTTGGCCAACCTGATGGATATAGCGTAGAATAATGTTTCGTAGGGTGTTGTTCCACTTCAATTGCAAGTTGTGGACGACGAAACGGTTCTTGAAATCGCTCGCAAACTCTGCTTCCGTGGGAGTTGACATTGAACCCCTAATGTCCGCTTTCGACTTTCGCGCTTCTGCCTTTGCCGATGAGGAAGATGACGAGTCCTCACTCTCAGCACAAAAGTGCGAGGTCTGCGTCATTTCCTTAAGCATGCCCTCCAGGAAAACCCTCTTCTCAACTAACACAGTTGTGTGTCTGGTCAAGGCCTCAAAGTCAGCCTTTAGATCCGGATCCTCGTCGCGAACCAGACGAAGCTCGATTTCACCCAAGTTGCGGTTGTGCGTCTCCATTTGTTTATCCAGTTGCTTCAACCGCTGGCGAATCAACTGAACCTGTATCCTTCTAGGATCATCATCCTGGCTCATGATGCACGAATGGGTTGGCTCCTGTCCGAAAGGGCTGCTTCGGTCCGGATCACCGTCAATGACACCGCCAATATCTGTCTGGCGGAAATAGGTGATGCGAGGCGCGAAAGCAAGTGGAAGAATCTTTGTGTCCGGGTTTGGTTCCGTGGGCAAAATCCAGTCGAGCTCAACAAAATCATCCATGTCAATCCACGTCAGGTCATTGTCAGGAATGGTGAATCGAGACAAGTCCGTGCCATCTTCCTCCTGATCGGTGACGAAGGTCGAAAGCGAGTGCTTTAGGAAGGCATCAGCGGTCGTGCCCCGAATTCTAGCGGAGACAGCGCGGATATCCGCAGAGACCAGATCCAGTTGACCTGCGTGAAGCTTCATGCTGCTTATTCTTGTCTGCGTTCCGCGCCCGCGGTCTCTGGTGTTGAATTCCTCCCGCCGCTGGTGCAGATCGAGCATGAAGCTATCAAGCCGAACCTTGATACCCGTTGCCGAGACCGCATTCTCGGAATAGTCTTCGACGTCCTTGTGCTTGTAGATGTGACTCAAGAACAGAGGCGCAAACATGATGTTATACTTGATAGTGGCCAAATGCCTGCCAAACTTTTTACTGTTCTTCTCCCTGTTAGGCCAAAGGGGACCTTGACGGACAGGAAGAGAGAGTGGGCCCGAAAATAACGACAACCAAGAAAAGAAATGGGTGAAGAAGCGCGGCGTGAGGTGAATAGCATTATAGCTACGTGATGGTGGAGGGTTGGATGCTGTCCATTCTCGATCGACTGGCGCGCGGATCGCAACTGAAAGATGAATATGCTGGCTGCGGAATCCACGGAAAGCATCGTAAGGAAGACCGTTTTGTGGCTTGGCATACTGCGGAGATTTCAGAACAACCTCGTAGTGAGGCTTGAACTCGAAGTTCCTATTGCCGTTTTCGATGGCCTGCTCAAAGACAAGACCAGCTAGCCATTGTACCTTCCCTGAAAGTTTCATGACCACCTTCTTGAAGGACGCAGTAGATTTATGTCTGCTCTCGCTTGCGATGCTTTCATTTTCTCCGTGACGACGACGACCTTCGCGGACTTGGTGACTATAGTCTGGAACCGCAAGAACACACTCTCCGCTGTCGACAG